TCAAGACATTCTGGGCAATCTGCAACTTTGTGGGAACAGTTTTGGGGAAGTCCCTTTTCTATTCCAGCATGACTGTGTCCCAGTGCACAATACAAGGTCTATAAAGGCATAGTTGAATGAGTTTGGTGAGGAAGAACTTGACTGACACGCACAGAACCCTGACCTCAAGCCTATCAAACACCTTTGGGATGAACTGTAATGGAAATTGTGAGCCAGGCCTTCTCGTCCAGCCACTGGGATTTCATCAAGGTCTGGACACTCAGAGGAGAATAAGCCGTTTGCTAACGGAGGCGCCATTTCATGCTGGTGTCTTTGGGATGTCTCACTCATTTCTCTAGATCCAGGGTCTGCAGTGACTTCATTTATTATTTTGCAGCACATTCTTGTAGCGTTCTGGTATCTATCAGTGCAAAAACATATTTAGGGCAAGTCAGAAAATAATGATAAAACTGCATAGTTTGAGGTCTGCATCAGCAGTTCATGGGGAAAGCATCTGCTTAACTTGCATATCAAATGGGATTTTATTCCATCAAATGTGATACATAGCACACAATCAAAGCAATGTTTAAACCCTACAGGTTGTTTAAGATTATCTACAGAATTCTTTAAAATGCATGATGTCATTTAATTGATAATAATGTTGCATGCGCCAAAAAAAATCTGATAATAATTGTGGCGCTGTGGTAACATATTTCGGGGGCTCTCACTTTCTTTAGCAGCTCCCCAGTCAGTCAGTCAGTGTTTAGATTGTAACTAATGTTTTCTCTGACTGCTCCATGTGTTTTTTTTTAAAGAATATTTCCTGTTCGTAAACTAGACAGAAAATGTCTGCCCAGCAACAAATGATGCTTTTCACAATACATATTGATTGGCTTTTGTTTCATAAGACGTTTGCAGGATTATTCACTAAAATAAGAAAATGAGAATTCAAGGTGAATTTCAAATTAAAGGTGAAAAGACCCAAACTGGAAAAATTCTCTGTGAAGCGATGCTGGACATCCTGAGGACGCCCAGTATGTTGAAAAACACCATAGGAAGGCACTGAGTAAATATTTTCCTATGTACAAGGCCTAATATGACCTAGCATTCATGCATTTGCGCATTAGGTTCCTCCATTGGTTGATGTAGGAGGAGAAGCCAGACCCAGTGCCATGGGACATGGTTGCAGTAATCCTTTCTGATGTGGTCTGTAGCGGAGGGTTAATGCACGGGTTAATGCACGATCTCTCCGCTGGTAACCAGGATTCAGCATACAGAACACAGGTAGCGAAGTATATAATCCCTTTTCCCAATGACTAGACGACACATAATCTGGGAGTCAATTGAGGGCTTTATTGAAACATCACCAAATTTATATGGTTTTCACTGTACGGTGTTTCCAGACTGGGACAGCAGGGGTTTTAATCAGGTGGACTGTGTGGGAAACTGACCATGCAGGGTCGTTTCCCAGCATCCCCTGCTGTACAGGGATAAAGATGATATCAGCAAGTACAGATAATTGGATTAACAGTGGTTACAGGAAAATACAGTATTTTACATAAAAATCTATAACTTATGCAATTTCTTACAGACTCACTAGACTGCAGGGATCTGAGGGTACAATCTCACGAAGTACCACTCAGATCCCTGCAGAAATAACCGAATGCCACATGAATTACTCTTTTGGGTATACTGATACTGAAAAAGGAGAACTCACGAAGGGCTCCAATCTACCGAAAGAGCGGATCTCCTAAACTCTCTGGAAGTCCAACGGTGTTTGGAAATCAAGTAGCCAATGTCAGTTCCACGCACTCAACGACCAAACACCGCTGAACTTTTACCGAACAAAGATGGCCCACGAACGGCGGCCACCCACGAAAACCTATTACCAGCACTTGAAACATTGTTGCACCTTGTTAATGAGAGACACACAACCTCATCGGTGTGGTCTCTCATTCGGTATTTAGTCAGTTCCCTGAACAGGACTGCGAATATTGTTCGTGTAACGATTGCCTTGTTCTCATAGCCTAACAATAGGCGATACGGCCATTTTAAAAGTCCAGAACACAGTCCAAACTAATGAACGTCTTTTTGCAGTCCTTAGTGGCTAAGTTTGCCACATGGTCCACTACCCCACCCCCAAAAGTTAAAAAATAAATAAATGCTAGAATTCACCACAGTTGTTCTCCTTGTAGTCCGATCCTCCTTGGCTGTTGTCACTCCCTCTTGCTGGATGAGGAGAGTGGTCAGGGAAGACAGACTAAGTGAACAGAGGTATCACCGAGGGGACCATGCCATCATTGGCTGTTTGGCACGGTTCCAATTTTGCATAGAATTGAGATTAATCACCCCAGGCTCATGACACTGCTGGAGGTTTGGAGGTAAAATTACACCCATGGCAGCTGGGGGTTAATCTCTGAATGTGAAGGATTTCAAATCGAAATACTGCACATGAAGACTCTAGGCACCATGACCACTTCAAATCAATAAAGTGGTCAGGGTTCTTGCAATAGGCCTTTAAGACTGTAATGGAAGTGGCAAAATTGGATTTGCAGTGATCTCATGCCAATCTGGCTATGCAAATAACTTACATTAGAGGACTAGGGCCACTGAGAAAATGAGTTGGAATAACCTTTTAATTTTCTGATAAGACATAGTCTGTCTGATTTCCCCATTCAAACACAGGCAAAATCAATGGGCATAAATTACATACTATCTTCTGTGCCGGGACATTTCCCAGAATCCCTGCAGGCATGGCCCAAGACATCTTGCTGCAAATATCAATGTGAGACATGATGATATGCAGTGAGACACTCGTCCTAATACTCATATGAGATTTACAGATTATTACAGATGTTTTACAATGGAGCGGAGGTGCTGTGGTGTTAATCTTTCAGACCTTATGATCACATTGCTATAGTGTAAAGTGAGAGTCTAGTGATGGGGCTCCATGCCAACATTTACAGAGACAAAAGATGGAGTTATGCACTCCTGGTATATTTGTGACAACAATTTCCCCCCAAAACTTTTGATTTGTCAATGTGATCTCCAAGAAGACCATTCACCATTGGTATGTCTTCCACGTTCTTCTGTTTGTGCAACAGCCACACACAATGCAGGCCTTGCATACAGCTCACAGGAGATACAAAACATACAAAGTGGACTGGCCTCTTCTCAGAACATCACAAAGCAATGTGTTATACTAAGGCCAGATTACCAAGCTCTGTGTTGGGACTTATAGTGGAGAGGGCACCATCATTCCCATATAGCAGTCCCCACTGGTGAGTGAGATGTCTTTGATATCCAGTATATGCAGATTAAGGTGGTTGCTTTTCATTTAATTTGTTATGGCTGTTCAGCAGTATGTGATCGTGATAGACAGATGAATGGCACTTCTTCACAGAATCTTGGCTTACTTACACTATCTATATCTGAACTGTATTCAAGAACTGTTTCTGTCTTCCTGACAGATGTCACTGAGATTTGGTGAAGTAAGAGGGGTAGATCTTTAAGCATGGGAAAGTGGTGAGAATGCGTGCAAGTTATGTTTTCTTTGACAGACAATGTCTCTGTGTTTATTTTGTTAAGGAGTGTTGTAATGGCCACATGTTTAGACCAAAGACTTACAGTACTGTTTTCGGTCTTTGGTTGTTATTAACCTTTTCCACCTGGTAATAGATATTGTTAAAGGGACACTATAGTCACCAGAACAACTATGGCTTATTGAATCTGTTCTGGTGAGTAGAATCATTACCTTCAGGCCTTTTGCTGTAATAACTTCACTGGCCACTCCTTAGATGGATGTTAGAGAGCCTTCCTGGGTCACTGCTGCCTAAAATGCATCCAAACATTCAGTATCTCTCCTCCCCATGCAGACACTGAACTTTCATCATAGAGATTCATTGATTCAAGTCATCTCTATGAGGAGATGCTGATTGGCCAGGGCTGTGTTTGAATCATGCTGGCTCTGCCCCTGATCTGCCTCTTTGTCACTCTCAGCCAATCCTGTGGGGAAGCATTGAGATTGGATCAGGCTACCACTTCTGATGTCAGCAGACAGCTTATTTTTCTGAGCCAAACAGCATGCAGAGTTACAGCTTCAGGCTTGAATACAAGTAAGATTTTACAATTTTTAGGGAGGCATAAGGGGGGTAGGGTGGCTAGATGTTTTTTTTTAACCCTATAGGGTCAGGTATACATGGTTGACCTATAGAGCTCCTTTAACTAGAACCTTCCAATTAGTAAGCACATACATAGATTGAATGCGGGGATTGTCCACATATTTCCCGGTGGACTGCGGTATATGTAATTGAATGAGCTGTCTGACAATGATGAGAATGTATGAAGTCTATTGAGGTGAAATTCATGATATTCATAACAATTACAATGTCACATATACATGCAGGTTTTTGAGACTGCTCCACCGCGCTGTTCAGGACATTTAATGAGCAAAAGCAGGTCTCTCATTTGCTTGTACCCTCCAGGCCAAATGTTGCCAACCACCCTCTGTCCTTGCGAGGTTACTCTTGTATTTCCCATCATTTATCTCCGCTACTCTTTAGGGGGTGTATTTAGTCCTTAGTTGATCATTTTGTTATAGTTTGCTGTATATACTCTGAATCTCTTCGGTAACTATTTTACTCTGATTCTATCGCATGTTATTTTTATAGATAAATTGTGTCATGGTTCATGCTTTCTTTTAATATTGCAGTTTTAGAGTACGTGATATAAGCGTCGGTCCCACATAATCAGAATTCTAGTTCATTTTCCCAGTGTCGGCTTATTGACGTCTGTGCATTGTTAGTTTTAGTTGTTACATTATTTTAAAAGCAACTTGTTTGCTCCCATATAAAAATGTCAACATTCACCTGTTTCATAGTTTACTATTGATTTCACCGTACATAGTGTGCTGTCGTGTTACTAAAATCGATTATGTTTGAGATAATATTAATTCACATTCTATGTTTGATATGTTCTCTTTTTCACTCATGTATTTTCTGAGGAGTTGGCAGGAAATAGGACTACAGACTGTGTGAGGACATTACTTTCAGTTTCTGTTAGGACAGGGTGTGCATAATAGACACAGAAAGACTGTTAGGGAACACGAGACAGACAAAAACTGAGAAAAGGAACAAGTGGGGAGTCTGAAGAAGAAAGACACTGCAGTACAATAACAGACACTCCTGGACGAGGGACACAAGCAGCACAGAAAGTGAGGGGGGAGAGGTGAGAGAGTGGGAGAGACAGACAATATACAGAGAGAAAGTGAAACATTGTATATTCTGAGACCTGTGCTCCCCAACATGGCACTTCTGAATATCTGTGGCCCTTCTCAGGACTGGCAGTTGCCACTGTACGGAGGAAAAATCTCACCCACAATCAACTTCAAACCATCGAAGACTGAGCTGGCAGTGCCCCCAGGATGGCAGGTATAGACATGCATTAATTTTATACAAGGTTTACTATGAATGCACACACATACATACACACACACTCTGTGTTGCCCTCAGGTAGTTAACCCACGTAGGTTTGTAGGCCAGTGCACCACTTACTGGACTGTTTACAGAATACTATATATAGCATGTGATCTGGATCAGGAGCTGTGGTATACCACGGAAATCAATTGCCTTTTTTATTTCACATGTCTCATACAAAAAACACAAATAGACAAAAAATTAAATTCCTTCAACTCCTCCTTACAACGCAAGCAAAAAATAATGCGTTGATAAAGTTTGATGAACTGTTTTATGTTTTTGGTCTTTGTTTCTTCTTCTGGTGTAATTACCACTTCTGTATGACTACTGGGGCTATTTATTGCTGGATTATTGGCTATAACTGGACACAATTTGCACATATTTTGTAAAAGTTACAAAAACAAAATAAAAATAAGAAATAAAAAGAGAGACAATAATGCTAGTGAGTAGGTTTGGATAATCAGAAAGTCAGTGTCCCTCTTCCTCCATCCTTCTGTTTCTTAGTCTAGTTTCCATATTTGGTTTTCCTACAGCCAGCTGAGTTCCTACATCGCTTTGAAAAAGGAGTAGATGGTGTGAAGATAGAGCCATGGCATGGAACCACCACTATGGCCTTCAAATTCCAGCATGGAGTCATCGTAGCGGTGGATTCACGAGCATCAGCTGGAAGTTATGTTGGTAAGAATAATGATAATACCAAGTATGTTAATGATAATTAATTTCAAAATATGGAGATGGTGAGTATCTTTACACTAGTAATTAGTATTAGATACTATTTAAAGCACGATACAATGTATGAATGCAATGGCATTGTCATTTCATACCTAATGATAATAACTTTGTCTGGGTAGCTACAGTTATCATGGAAGATTCCTTCATATTTATTTTATCCTTTTCTTATCCTGGCAAACAAAAAAAAATCATGATTACAAAGCCACTAAATGTCTTGTATTTCCCAACCGATATAAATTGCTGCCATTTAAATGTTCATAGAGTAAACCTGTTTACTATCGGAATGGTTATGCTATTATAATCACACCAGTGGCGACATTGTTAAAAAACATAAGATCCTGTTCACAGACGCACTTTCCAAACAGAACATTTAGACAATGCTCCAAAATATACAAAATATAGAACGATGTGCCTTTCTTAAAGGACCACTATAGGCATCCAGACCACTTCAGCTTAATGAAGTGGTCTGGGTGCCAGGTCCAGATAGGATTAACCCATTTTTCTGTTTCAGAGAAACTGCTATGTTTATCTATGGGTTAATCCAGCCTCTAGTGGCTGTCTCATTGACCGCCGCTAGAGGTGCTTCCGCGCTTCTCACTGTGGTTTTTACAGTGAGAAGACGCTTGCGTCCATAGGAAAGCATTGAGAATGCTTTCCCATGGACTGGCTGAATGCGCGCGCGGCTCTTGCCGTGCATGCACATTCAGCCGATGACGGAAGAAGAGGGAGGAGAGGAGGAGGCGAGCTCCCTGCCCGGCGCTGGAGAAAGAGGTAAGTTTATCCCCTTCCTCCCCCTAGAGCCCTGCGGGAGGAGGACCCCTTTGGGTGGGGGCACCCTCAGGGCACTATAGTGCCAGGAAAACGAGTATGTTTGTTTTCCTGGCACTATAGTGGTCATTTAACCCCTTAAGGACACATGACATGTGTGATATGTCATGATTCCCTTTTATTCCAGAAGTTTGGTCCTTAAGGGGTTAAAGGTACACTACACTGATCAGATTCACTACAGTGTAAGGTTGTGGTTTTGGTGTAAACATTCTGTCCATGCAGTCCATGTTTTATAAAAACTGCCCTTTCTTTTTAAAAAGGCAGTGTGTACATTGATCCATAAGAACTCATCTAGTGATTGTCACTCAACAAGCCACTAGAGGTGCCTCCTATTACTATTTGCTATAACCTGTTAATATTTGGCATCCTGATATTAAGCATAAAGATTTGGAATGCTCCCCAAGAGGATGCATTGATGTGATGCACCTCTATGGGGAGATAAAGATTAGCACAACACAGCAATCAATGCGCATGCACTGTAGGCCCTTAATTTTTTTCTGTATAGAAGCACTGGATTGGCTGAGATCATCAGCTGTGATACTGGTGCAGCTTGCAATAAAAAGTAAGCATTTTGGCTTTATTTGAGGTTACTGAGGTTACAATAAATAACTAACATTAGAAATGCATGCTTAGAGTGTATGTTAGAACTTCTTTTTAACAGAAACTTGAACCAGTGAGTGGCCCAACGCAAGGACAGCACCACGTACAAAGTTCCCCGCTTAAAATGTATTCAATAATAGTAATAATAATCTGTAGTGATAAATACTTTGAATGCATGTATTCAATTCTGCAATTTCCTTACAGCAACACTAAAGGTTAATAAAGTTATTGAGATCAACCCTTACCTACTGGGCACCATGTCTGGATGTGCCGCAGACTGCCAGTACTGGGAGCGCCTCTTGGCTAAGGAGTGCAGGTAAGGTATTGGTAAATGGACATTTCTTGTGCTGTCTACCACGTCAACCTTCCAGAATTATGGATTTAAGATAAATGCTTACAGTAATTTTGTGTATGTTCTTATACTTCATTTGTGATAGACATTTTTATATATACTGTGTTGTGTTTTTTTCCCCCCAAGTCTTTTTAACTTTTGCCTTATCGTTTATGAAAAGTAAAAGGCACTTATATACAAATACCCCTATTATCAATTTATTATTATATTAAATTTAATTTATTATGCATCCCTAATATAAGTACCTTCAGAAATGTAATTGGCATTGAAGTTCCCTTGATCATGGAGGACATATTTATTGGACAAGCTTTAAAAGCTTATTTATCTGTCTCTTCAACAGGTTATATCAGCTACGGAATAACACCCGGATATCTGTGTCGGCGGCATCGAAACTCCTGGGTAACATGATGCTCCAGTATAGGGGACAAGGTTTATCCATGGGCAGCATGATCTGTGGTTGGGATAAGAAGGTAAGAAACAGTACAAATACATTAACCACTACTGTTTTGCCATGAGTGTTCTGGAGCCCCTCCAATGTAAGTAGTTCAACTTCTTATTTGAGGTCCACTGGGCACTGCTTCCACCTCTCTGCAACCTCCAGAGGAACCGGAAACTCCTGCTGGTATTTTCCATTTTTCTCCTGAGCAAAGTCCTACAGTGTAGGGCCAGCTCATTGTCTGAGAGCATCAGCTGACCGCTTTGAGCTAGTGAGCTAAGCCTGCACTACAAGGCTTAGCTCAGAGGTGAGAGCCTCCTGCTGCAGAGTAAGTGGAACCCAGGTAAGGAGTCATACCATTCAAAAAATGGTACCACGGCATTCCAGGCACCATAACCACTACAAAGCGCTTTTGATGCTTGTAGTGTTCTTTAATATGCAATCTCTGGGTTCCCATTGGTGGGTGGTCCAAAGCCTGAAGCCCAATGTTTATATAATCCATTTGACTGATGAATAAAAACCCATGATATGTTACATATTTAAGTTTAGCTCTAACACAGTTTTATCAAGGCATATAGAATAAAAAGGCCGGCACAGTACAGGGGGATGGTATATATGCAGTTTCATTGTATTTCCACAAATGTAACATCAATCAATCTTAGTTGATGGAGAATTTCTGATCTGTGGGTTGCTATCCCAGGTTTTTACATCTCGTGCCCAACTTTTGATGACACCAGCTTAGAAGTTTCCATAAAACACACTTTGAGACATTAAATTAATTTGCAGAACCACAAGGCAATGCTGAGAATTTCAGGCCATATGGCAGAACTTCTGCAGCTCTCAGGTTGGAGTACCCTTCATTTTTACTATAGATATGGCAAGTGGGGCCAAGCCTGGATAAGTGTCTTGATTGTGCCAAACTCATCTGAGTGCTAGGTGATGCAACAGGTCAACTTATGGTCAACCAGCTATGCATACTTCTCAATTTTGATTGTAATACTGCTACATATATTCTACATTGTGTTCTTAAAAATAATAGTGATACTAATAACACCTGGAAATGTATTTATCGGCTTTTTAATAGATTCTTGTAGAGAACAGAGCATTTTGTGGGAGAATTTCAGAATTAGATACAAGTTAGACTGAAATATCCTGTAGAAAACAGGATAACTTTTATCAATACACATTTAATTATAGAGGTCAAATAATGCTGCAATATGTGTTTTCTCATAGGGTCCTGGACTGTACTACGTGGATGAAAATGCTACAAGGTTGTCAGGTGACATCTTCTCCACAGGATCAGGAAATTCCTATGCATATGGGGTGATTGATAGTGGACATAGGTATGATATGACCACTGAAGAGGCCTATGAACTGGCCCGTAGAGCTGTCAGCTATGCAACTCACCGTGATGCCTATTCCGGAGGCGTAATTAATAGTATGTACCATCACTTGCTTTGTTGTATTGTATTACATACTGTTTTGTCCCATGTATGTTGCTATCCTCAATCTCACTGCTACATCCTTCCCTGCACACTGCCTGACCTGCCATGGCCTATCTTGAAAAATCTCAATGTAATTTTTATTTAATGTACCACCAAGTTAGTATATATTAAATCAAAATTATATGATGGCATTTAAATGAGGGATTATGTGCTCAGTACCTTGGGAAAATGCAGATTATACAATTTGCAGCATGTTGCACCATAAGCCTCCACTGTAAGCCTGCCTCTGCATCTGACCTATAAAACAAAATGCATTAGAAGGAGAAGACACCCAGGGAAACTAGATATTTATACTAAGGATACAACTACCTTTTTTTAGTTTAAAAGCAGCTCACATGGTGCCAGGCTTCCCAACATTTCAATTTTAGCGGGACAGTTCCATTTTATGGCTTATGTCCTGCCGTCTAGACACCAGGGAACTATCCCCAACAAGCATAGGGCGAGTGCATCATTAGACACACTTATGCTATACTCTGGGAACTAGGACCCTGTAGAGAGCACTGAAACACAATCCAATTTTCGAATAGATCTGCCCCCTGTGAGGCATAGTCAAGATTGCATCACTGGCCCACCCCCTTCACTCCCCTTCCACTCGCGTCCCGTTCTCTGTAGCGGCTGAGACTGTATGCATAGATTTGATAAGGAAGCCTTTCTTATATAAGGGCCGTGACTAAGTAGAAAGGCTTTTGGTACAGCATTCTGCAAAACATATTTTTATTTTTTGTGCAAAAAACTGTAAAGATTTAAAAAGGCAAAAAAGAGAGCATATTAAAGGACGTCTATAGGGTCAGGAACATAAATATGTATTCCTGATTCTATCGTGTTAAAACCACCAATTAGGTGGCTTGCTCACCCCCACGCCCCATCCCTTAGCCCCTTTAGAAAGGGTTAAAACATACCTTATTTCCAGCGCTGCGAGGATCTGCTGGCGATGGTCCTGCCTCCAATCCGCCTCCTTAGTGACATCATCAGAATATAAGATTTTTAACCAATTAAATGCTTTCCATGCAGAATGTGGAGACGCTGAATGGCAGTGCTGACTACTGTGCAGCACTATTCCAGGTAGCACCTCCAGGGGCCAAATGAAGAGTTGCCACAGGAGGTATCCCTAGGGGGCAATATAAACACTACCTTTTCTCTGAAAATTAAAATGCTTGCAGGGACTGATTATACTCACCAGAACAACTACATTAAGCTGTAATTGTTCTGGTGACTATAGTGTCCCTTTAATGAGATCAAAACCCGATTGTCCCTTTAAATACTGTGTGATTATAGTGTAAGTAGGGAATGTGTTATTATTTATTATACGTAGTTCATCCCATGGATTTTCTCAAGTGACATTTAGGTGTCATGGCCTACTTCTCTCTATCATTCATCACAACCTAATGTAATCTGCTCAAATCTATTCTGATTTAATCTAATCTGATCTATCCTAGTCTATTGTATTTGTATTTGATAGCAGAACCAGTCAGAGGCCAAACTAAGTATCACTGTTAACATGAGTTTATAAAAGAATGATACAAAAACAGACAACTCTTAGTTAGAATCTGCATAAATGTAGTCACCGCTCGGAGGATTCACAAGCCAATCCTATAAATACCCACAATTAAAGCAAACATTTCACAGCATTCAGTGAATTAGGAGTTAGAAGCCCTTATTACACCCCAACAGACCTTCCTCTCCTCTGGTTTTTGTAAAGGAAAAGAAAATAACAGTGTTGCTCTATTTCCCAATTATTTAAAACCATATTCTGCATACACATGCTGTGTGCATAATATTTATTCATATAATGTGTTTGTGAATAAGTCAATACAGTGCTTTCCTTTACTCTCCCCTACATATTGTCCCTTCTTGTTGTTTGGATGCCAGCAGAACAGTCTGTCCCCACACATTGTGTCACATCTAATGTGTTCTTCTCCCTCCCCAGTGTATCACATGAAGGAAGATGGGTGGATTAAGGTTGGGCAGTATGACGTAAGTGAATTACTACACAAATACGCTGAGCAGAAGACCCAGTGATGATCGATAGTCCACGGGCTTCTATCACATGCATGCTGGTAACATTCTACTGAACTACTTACCACCCTACCCGTGACCCATTTCCTGTCTGAGATCCTTCAAGGCAACATACAGCTCCTCTGGTCCTAGAGATAATGTGATATGTCTATGACTATTATTCTGCAAACTGTATATTTTTTTTTTCAGATTTTATACCAAATCAGGGATTTGGAAATAAATAAACATGAAATAAACCTGAGTCCTGTGATTTGTGAACATCCTGAAAAGGTGGTCAAAGTTCAGACAATTGATATAGGGTACAGTATTTAAAGGGACACTATAGTCACCAAAACAACTTTAGCTTAATGTAGCAGTTTTGGTGTATAGATCAATTCTTAAATCACTTTATTTATGAACCCTAGTCCCACCTCCCTGCATGTGACTTGCACAGCCTTCCATAAACACTTCCTGTAAAGAGTCATCTACAATTTATTCTTCCTTTATGGCAAGTTCTGTTTAATTAAGATTTTCTTATCCCTTGCTATGTTAATAGCTTGCTGCAAGAGCCTCCTGTATGTGGTTCAATTTAGAGATTGAGATACAATTATTTAAGGTAAATTACATCTGTTTGAAAGTGAAACCAGTTTTTTTTTCATGCAGGCTCTGTCAATCATAGCCAGAGGAGGTGTGGCTAGGGCTACATAAACAGAAACAAAGTATTTTAACTCCTAAATGACAGTGAATTGAGCAGTGAAATTGCAGGGGAATGATCTATACACTAAAACTGCTTTATTTAGCTAAAGTAATTTAGGGGACTATAGTGTTCCTTTAACAATTTTACCCTGGCCAGTGACACAGCAATATCACATAATGCACAGTGTAATGCCATGTACTCTGGGGGTAACAGCAGAATCCAAAACTTTCCCTTTAGTCTAATGCTTTCCTAACAGTGTTTTCACTATACATTGTCAATGTTTAATGTCTCTCAGTGTAAAATATTTAGAGCAGAAGTAATTCGTTCACATGGGGAATTTGAACATTCAAGGAGGGTGGGACAGGTCCCTTATTTTACTTCAAGGATCTCTCACTCATGATTGCTGTGAGTGAAGGTGAGACTTTGCGCATTCAGGGAGGGTGGGACAGGTCCCTTATTTTACTTCAAGGCTCTCTTACTCATGATTGCTATGAGTGAAGGTGAGACTTTGCGCATTCAGGGAGGGTGGCACAGGTCCCTTATTTTACTTCAAGGCTCTCTTACTCATGATTGCTGTGAGTGAAGGTGAGACTTTGAGCATTCAGGGAGGGTGGGACAGGTCACTTATGTTACTTCAAGACTCTCTTACTCATGATTGCTGTGAGTGAAGGTGAGACTTTGCGCATTCAGGGAGGGTGGGACAGGTCCCTTATTTTACTTCAAGGCTCTCTCACTCATGATTGCTATGAGTGAAGGTGAGACTTTGAGCATTCAGGGACGGTGGGACAGGTCCCTTATTTTACTTCAAGGCTCTCTCACGTAGTCTATAGCAAACTGCATCTCCTCTGAGTACACCAGCATTATGGCTGCAAATGCATTGTGGGATATGTAGTCCACAACATTGGAGTGCAGAAGGTAGCATTGCCCTGGTCTATAAATTGGATATTATTAAGAGGTTAAACATACAGTTATGCTGGTGTTGGAGAATTGGGGTCAGGTACTGAAATTAGTTCCTCTCCTTGCACTCTGCTAGTTAGGAGGCTGATATAAACTGCTGAAGTCTAGGAGCATTTATTATCTCTACTTCCTGGTAACCAGAGAGCACAAAGCTGGTTCTGCAATCATTTTAACCCAGTAGAAGAAAGACACGTCACTGGTTCCTTGTTACAATTTTCGGTGACTTGTCTGTAATATCAGAAATGATAAAGATCAAGGGCACAGCAGGTAGTACAGATAACACAATCTGCATATCATACACGTAGTATTATATCTTGTTGTTATTATTATTATTATGATATTTATATAGCGCCATCAAATTCCGCAGCGCTTTAAAATGGGTGGACGAACAGACATATAGTTGTAACCAGACAAGTTGGACACACAGGAACAGAGGGGTTGAGGGCCCTGCTCAATGAGCTTACATGCTAGAGGGAGTGGGGTAAAATGACACAAAAAGGTAAGGATAGTATTAGACTAGTGACAGTTGCAGAAGAGAAATCAGTCAGGAGCTATTAACAGTTTAATTGATATGCTTTTATGAAGTGGGTTTTTAACAATTGTAATGTACACTTTCCAATGTACAGTATATACTCTGTGTTACTGGACTGTGCTACACCATAGGGTCATATAACAGAATTAAAATCATAGATACAATGTATCCTGGAGCTACAATGTATCACAGAGTGCCAGCAGCAGTAAAAACAATCTTACACAAAACACTCCTAAACCGTCAATTGAATAGCAGACAGTGTGAGCAGCGATCGTGTGTGACTGATCGTCCTGCTGCCGACTTTCCCCGAAGAGATACCGGAGAGAGAGATTCACAGCGGAGGGGGAGTCCCCCCTGTAGTGAGGCTTCGGGTAGAACGCTCTGTGAAACGCACGCCGACCTCACCGGACACGGACTGCAGCTCCCACGAACCTCATCCACCTACAGGAACCTACACTGGAACTGGGTGCCATTTGCACTGTACCTTCCTATTACGGTCTTTTATACTACATGCATCTGTTTGAAATTTCGTTTTCATTCATTTATTAAAAGTACTTTGAATTATACAATTATGCTGATTCTATCTCAATAGAAAAAATGCTTAGGCTGAATATAGGTTGGATTAAACCTTTAACTTGTATATCTGTTTATATATACTTATAACGAGTATTTATCCTTTTAAAACTCTAAGGAAAAACATACAGAACAGAGCAGAGAGGTAAAGGAACTAAACATTTGGCATCTATTAGCCATAACTATATTTATACAACTTAATTAATAATCCTTTTCCAAAAATCATAGCCAAAAAATAAACTAAATTATTTTCACGCATTAGAAATGTTAACACTAGCTATAAATGCAAGGGTGATCACAATGTATAATCTTGACATCATATTTCCATGATCATCTCTGCCTAGAGGGTGATCAATTATATCTGATCCATCCATGTTTATGTTAGTGAAGCCATTGTTATTACTTCATCTGTTCTATAGAACATCAGTATATTCTGTCATAAATTTTACTGGAATAATTCCCTAATAGAGAAAGTTGAATCCATATAATTTTCTTCCATATTACATGGGTTTTGAACTGATCCAGTGACTTCTAAAATATTTAATAATGAAAGCTAAAATATCTGAAGCAACTCAGTTGTAAAATGGAGAGTGGAAACGCGGCCAACAGAGGTAGTGGACAGACCACAGTGTGAAACATGAGTTCAATGACAATATTATATAGTATATTAGGAGAGTACAAAATCCAAAGCAAATACTTATATTAATAAATTAACATTCATAATTATGAACATGACAGCCATCTTGGGATTCAATATGATTATAATACACATGGAATTAGATACTTGGCAACAGCATTTTTAACATTCTTTATTTAAAACTGTTAACAATATTAAAGGAACACTATAGTCACCTAAATTACTTTAGCTAAATAAAGCAGTTTTAGTGTATAGATCATCCCCCTGCAATTTCACTGCTCAATTCACTGCCATTTAGGAGTTAAATCACTTTGTTTCTGTTTATGCAGCCCTAGCCACACTTCCCCTGGCTATGATTGACAGAGCCTGCATGAAAAAAAAAACTGGTTTCACTTTCAAACAGATGTAATTTACCTTAAATAATTGTATCTCAATCTCTAAATTGAACTTTAAAGGACCACTCTAGGCACCCAGACCACTTCAGCTTTATGAAGTGGTCTGGGTGCCAGGTACCTCTAGGATAAACCCTTTTTTTTTTATAAACATAGCAGTTTCAGAGAAACTGCTCTGTTTATACTGAGGGTTAATCCAGCCTCCAGAGCCTCTAGTGGCTGTCTCATTGACAGCCGCTAGAGGCGCTTGCGTGCTTCTCACTGTGAAAATCACAGTGAGAGCACGCAAGCGTCCATAGGAAAGCATTGTAAATGCTTTCCTGTGCGACCGGCTTAATGCGCGCGCGGTTCCTGCCGCGCATGCGCATTCAGCCGATGACGTCGCGAGCAAGGAGGAGAGCAGGAGTACAGCTCCCCGCCCGGCGCTGGAGAAAGGTAAGTGTTTAACCCCTTCCTCTCTCCAGAGCCCGGCGGGAGGGGGTCCCTGAGGGTGGGGGCACCCTCAGGGCACTATAGTGCCAGGAAAACGAGTATGTTTTCCTGGCACTATAGTGGTCCTTTAATCACATACAGGAGGCTCTTGCAGGGTCTAGCAAGTAATTAACATAGCAAGGGATAAGAAAATCTTAATTAAACAGAACTTGCAATAAAGAAAGACTAAATATGTCTCTCTTTACAGGAAGTGTTTATGGAAGGCTGTGCAAGTCACATGCAGGGAGGTGTGACTAGGGTTCATAAACAAAGTTATTTAACTCCTAAATGGCAGAGGATTGAGCAGTGAGGCTGCAGGGGCATGTTCTAGACAATAAAACTGCTTCAGTAAGCTAAAGTTGTTCAGGTGACTATAGTGTCCCTAAGTGACAGGACCATACAAAACTGTAATAAATCAGCTTTAGGCGGGCCACAGGTATGAAGGAATAGACCATATATGCAACATATTATCAAAGGAATAAGGTCAAGTTAAGGAATTTGGTTGTTATCCCAGCTTTTGTGATATCACATATTTAAGTCAATGCAAAGGATAATAGCCACAGAAGGCCAAAGATTTGCATTCCAAGTTTCACAGATATCCCATTCACACAAACAGTCTTTGAAAAAGCAAAGGTCATTGAACAAGAAACTAAATAACCATGTTCACGAGTATGCAATAGAAATAGTATAAACCATAGTATAGGGAGGGAGAGGTCAGATTTCAAAAGATAAATCTAACTTCACATCTTTTAAATAAACTGGTACTTGTCGAAAGTGAGAAGTGCATATCAAGATTAAACACAAATAAATTAGATTATAAACAAATAGTTTTGGCAATGTTTCAAAGGTAGGACCGAAGTCATATTTTTCTTATCCGATGATCTTTTGTGGCAAAACTATAAGATGTTACTACCTTGTTTCAACACAAAATTACAAATCTGTCTCCTTCATTAAACACAGGGGTGGACCTGGAGACCATTTTCTGGAGAGGCACTGGAAGATTTTTTTTAATTGCAGTGTGGAATAGTTATAATAAACCTCAATAACAATAACAATGTACTTTACTGTCAGGGCTATTCAGTAAACTCCACAAGGTAGCCAAATGAAATCTAACTTGCAGAGCTAAGACAAGAACCAGGCGATTTAGTGAAATGATCCTATTTTGCTATAGTTAAAGCACTATACACGAACTAACAATCTGTCCTTGATTTGCCTGTGGAGTCGGATTGATTTTTTTTTTTGTTCAGATGTAGGTTAAAAGGCATTTGATTTGCTAGAGCCAGCTGAAAAGCTCTTATGCACAAGTCTAGTCACATCTAGGCTACTTTGGTCTTAATTCTGCAATTCGGATTTAAAGTCACTACAATGCAGAGTTTAGAGAATAACCCTGCATGCAGCAATGTTCTAATTATGGAGCATAGTAATGTTCATTGAACATGGGTGCAGAACAGAGACCCACAGCAAAAAAAGCTAATTATAGAAACATATAACAAGGATTGGAGCAGACCTTTAGAAGACTGTCAGTAGTATAAAACATCATCATTTATTTATCCAAAATTCATCAAAAGCATGACTGCACAATATATACATGTACACAGAAAAAAGAAAAATGTGCACAGAACCAGGGAAGTTGCAAACGTTCATCTGCATGCCATGCATAAAACAATTATAGCCTGAGTGTGCTGGAAATCGGGTGATCAGCAGGCTGTGTACTTATAGTTACTGATAAATTTGGAATCTTTTTAAAAATACTGTTTCTGTATCTACAAATACACAAACTATAAGCCTTTGGGGGTCATGTGAAAAATGATTTGTGCTGTAACCATTGCTGTGCAAGCTTGGAAAGTCCCCGCTGGTTTCTCCACTGCCTGAACTGTGCACCAGATATGATCTTTTTCCTTAACCCCTTCATGTCTATATCTCGACTAATAAACTATGAAGCGTCAGCATGAGGTTAGTAGGTGATTATATAACGTACATGATCTAGCAAGTCTTCTGGACTTATTCACTAAACTGGGAATTGTGGAGAATTGGAAGGAGAATTGCATGATGTAGGCTTCAATAACGTTGGAGAATTTTGTGTGTGCATGTAATTCTTGTCAAATTTCAACAACTTCTTGTGACTAATACTATCTATCTATCAATATTCTCATGATACTATAGTTGCTCATGTAGTGAATTAAAAAATGCTTGTGACCTGCGTGTATCACTATAATTTTCAGTGTCGTCATGGTTCCCCCTAATATAAAAAAAGAAATCACCACTTTTTTTTAACTTCTATGTAATATTTACAAACTGAATACAAAATAACCTCTTTGAAACAATAATGAGTCCAGATGCTTACAGCCATCCCGTACCACTGAGAGTTTCTTCTCTACTCTATTAGTATTTGGGTCCTGCATCGGTAGTTGGCTTTTGACTAATGTATTACTAAAATGTGTTCACTCCACTTGCTCTTGCTCTCCATTACTTCGCTGGAAACTGCTGGTCTGCTTGTTCCAGAGCCTCCAGTAGCTGCCCTCCAGGGCCAGCAGCTCTTCGTGAGTCCCCTGCTCTGTGATTTGTCCGCTTTCCAGTACCAGGATACGCTTTGCCTGCTGCACTGTGTGCATGCGATGAGAGATGAGCAGCACTGTCCGTTTCTGGGGATTATCATACAGGGCACTCTGAATCTGGAGGAAAAAAACAAGATTATGATAGCTGAAGATAGGTTGTGAATAACAGTTTATGCATGTATCAGCTTAATGGTAGTTTTGGCTGGTGGTAGATATTGCTGGTATCTAAGGTGGAGCTGGGAGAATATCAGTGTCTTGAAATTTGGGAACACTTGTTAGTATCTGAGGTGGAGGCTTAGAACACATGTTGGTATCTGAGGTGGAGGCTTGGAACACATGTTGGTATCTGAGATGAAGGCTGGGAATATATGTTGGTATCTGAGGTGGAGGCTTGGAATCTATGTTGGTATCTGAGGTGGAGGCTGGGAATATATGTTGGTATCAGCTGTGTATGCTGGGAATATATGTTGGTATCTGCTGTGTATGCTGGGAATGCTTTGGTACCTGAGGCCTTGGCTGAGAATATCTGTTGGAATTTGAGGTGAAGGCTGGGAATAGCTGTATCTGAAGTAGAATAACTTTACATCTTAGGTTTAAGGTGGAAAGACATTTTGGTGTCTGATGTGGAGGCTGGGAATTCATGTTGAAGTTTGACTTGGAGATATCTATCGATCTGTAAAATGGAGGCTGGGAGTGCCTGCCATTAATGGTGTTTGTGAATGATGGTACTAGAAACATGTGAAGGACCCAGCAGTGAGTAAATAGAAGGGAGTTACTGAGAGGACTTATTTGTCTTTACTAAGGATGCTTATATCCATCATTTGGGAGGTTTTAGGAGTCAGTTTTTGAGACGTTAGGAAAAAGTGGTTTGATAAGAGGAAAGTGTGATTGGAAGCAGTCAGTTTAAGCCAATCTCAGAGGAGGTATTACATGATAAGGGAAGTGTGTTTTGACGAGGTTCAAGGGTGGTGGTGTGAGAAGCAGAAAATATGATTGAAAAACTTCTGTAAAGTTTAAAATTGATGATTTGTAAAAATGGAGGTGTGATTGGAAGACTTGGGTTTCAAGGAGGTTTTGAATTGGCAGTTTGTAAAAAAGGAAAGTGATTGCAAGCAATTGGCTTTGGTGAGATTTGGAATAGGTGGTTTATGAAGAGCAAAGAGTCATTGGCTGGTTTCAGTAAAGCTGGCATTTGGTGATTTTGTAAAAAGGAATGTGTGATTGTCAGGAATCCATTTCAGTGAGGCTGGAATAGGTAGTTTTTAAAAAGAAAGGTAGTTTTTAAAGAGTCAGCTTCAATGGGAACTGGTGGTTTGTGCTGTTTCTTTGCATATTCGCCTTGGACTCACATCGAGCTCAGTCTTTGTATCCAGGGAACTTGTGGCATCATCTAGAATGAGAACCTTGGGATTCCTTACAAGAGCTCTCGCCAATGCCACCCTCTGCTTCTGCCCCCCAGAAAGCTGCCCTCCTTTCTGGCCAGCACCTAACACATTGGAAGACATTATATGAGTATATACACATAATAATAATACTAATAAAATCTACATTGACACACATATTGATATAAGTTTAAATACAAACATAAAATGCAATAAATTCACTGTATGTGTATTTTATATGTTCTTATTTCTTAATGAAGAACTTTATGAGTATTTTTGTCTTTTTTTTTGGTTATAAAATATGTATTTGGTTTCCAATCTCTCAGTAAGGAAAGGGGAAAGATCTTCTTATTATAAGCAAACATTCCATCTGTAGATGTGACTATAGCTACTTTATTGGGCAAGAAAGTACAACATAATTATTTATTTCACTGCTTTTGGAGGAGGAATTGTAATTGCCATATTTGCGTGGAAAGTCTTATGATTTTATTCTATTTAAGTTTAGATTTATATGTGTGAAAAATCCACATGCTAATCTAAAATGTGTATTTGTGTTTGTGTTTTTAACTCTTTCCAAATAAAACAAAAGTCATTTTATGGGTAAACATATTGTTGTGGATGTAAAGGGAAAGGAGGTGAAATTGTTAATATTTATTTATAAAGCACAAATGTATTTTGCAGCAAAGTTAGCAAGACACAGAAGTAATGTATGCAAAACATGTCTTACAAACAGAGACAAGGGTTTAGTTCGAACACGCTTGCTGTCTATAGGAAATGCTTTATAGCTATAAACAAGGTAAAGTGGAATGTATCCCTAGGGAAAATCATCTGAGTATCAATAGTCAGGTAATGCTTTCTTATCTTCTTACATCTACTGTTTCCAGTGCTTATCAACATCATCGCTTGTAAATGGCTGACTACCTTCTTTTATTCTCTTGGACTATACAAACACTGTACACAGATAAAAAGAAGAATACCTGTCTGATATCCATTGGTTAATTCTGAAATGAAATCATCAACATGTGCTACTTTCGCTGCATCCTGCACCGATTTCTGGGGTACCTTCTCCAAGCCATAAGAGATATTGTCCTCAATGGTGCGGGACGTGAGCGTTGGTTCCTGGCTGACCACTGACACCTAGATGGGGAGACGATGGAAGGAGGATATTACGGGGGGAACTGACAATTTTCTGGAAATTACACCATTGAATAAAGCACTGAAAAATCAGCCATAACTTCGTATTAACACATTTTAGGTGAATCTCTGTTTTCTTTTGAATGTAATATATTTGGGATTTAGCAATTTACATCACAAACCAGTACAGTCCTGGCACAGCCAAGGCACACACTGCTTTGGGAGAGGAAAAACTGAAACATTATTTCTTTCTCTTTCTACTTCTCCACGTACTGGGGTTGATTCACTAAAATACAAATTGCAGTGAACTGCAATCCACATGGCAGAATGTAGACAAAAATAGCAGATCTGGAAAAATTCTCCAATTCAGATATAGTCACAGTTTAGGTGTTTAGCCTTAATGTTGCAATTCAGATTTCAGTACACTACAGTTTAGACTTTAAAGAATAGCCCTGGAAGGATCCAGTATTCCTTTACAGCAGAGAACATGCATTAGGAATACTACACTACAAACTGTGATACCGAAAGAGTGGAATGTATCAACCGAAATGTTTATTTGCAAAATGTGGTTTAAACTAGAGCATGACAAGTGCCATATCACAAAGCGAGAAAACAGTTTGTGTTCCTCAGTTCCCTAGTTTAGTGAATAAATCCCTATGTGACTAGGATTGTGGTGAATTGATATGATATTTCCAATAGATATTCCAAAAAATCCCCAACTCACTTACCTTTCCAACGCAGATATTTTGGCCTAAATAATTCCTTTGTCAATCTCCTGTTTGCTGAATGGACCCCTGATATAGATCCAAATAATGATCTTTGCACAAAGATTAGATAAGAGACATCTCAGGTGTGGGCTATCTGCTCCCGGAACTAGACATATATGGTCTTAAGTGTCGTTTTAAGCATCAAGCATTTCCCGAGTCCACATTAGCCAATTTTAATATAGGATATCAAAATATGACACCTATAAGCTTGAGCCTTGGAATCAAGATAAATTCCATCACACCCCATACAGTATTTGTCCTATTAAACTATATCTAGTCACATATATTCTGACTTACCAGCAGTAATACAGATAAATGCAGTGTTAGTACAAAACCAGACGCAGGGTGTGAATAGTACCTTTGTGCGGTAGAATTTGTTCTCGTATTCTGATATTGGTTTTCCGTCCATTAGAATCTTTCCATTCTTCGGTTCATAAAATCTGAGCAGCAGCTGCACCACTGTGGTCTTTCCTGCGTCACATTGACCCACCAGAGCTGTCACTTCACCAGGGCACAGTTCAAAAGACACATCCTAAGGGTATGGACAATAAACAAGGATGCGGAAACTGATACTTTCTATGAAAAATGCACAATAATAATGTGTGTGTTGGTATTGGTACCTGCAGAGCTGGGGTATCTGGATATTTCGGGTATGAGAAAGTAACATTCTGGAACTGAACGTGCCCTTTGAGACTGCTAGGGATGAGGGTGCCTTGTTTGGGCATCTGTGGAGTGCGGTCCATATACTCAAAAACCTTTTCTGAGGACCCTACAGCTTTTCTGACATCAGGGTACATTCTCAGCAAGACCTGGGAATAGAAAAGGCCAGAGATCAAGTACGAGTTAGATGCACACTGCATCAATAAGATAGAGTTATGTGACAGCAGCAGGAGAGAGCTGAGACAAATTCGCAATGTATCAAAGTGTGAGAAACTTTCCAAGCAACACAGGCAAATATATCCATACAGCATCATTAAGGCTGATTCCTGTACAGCGTCAGACAACCTGCAATCATTGAGACAGATAGTCATGAGTTTACTTCCAAAGGAATAACCACAAAAGGAAGTGCTAGAAAGTCTCACTAATAGCAAGTCCTCAAAAATCAGAAAGGCACAGAAGATTAGAGACTAACGAGCACATGTATGGTTACTCATTAAATTGGATAATTATCAAAGTTGTTACACACAGTTACAGTATCATGGAAAGAGTTTCTCACACAGCCTTTACCTACACGTCAGACTGATACATGCACTGCATCAGTGAGAGAAACAAGAAATAACATTGGAACAAGGGGGGTCCACATAGTATGTGAAATAAAAAGATGCATAATTGGTAGATCACCAAGGACATATGATATCCGCCAATAGAACTGACATTCCAAAAGGAGTGACCCTATCTCTTACATCCACGGCTGACGTAAACTGCATCTCATACAGGACAAATGACACCAGGTCCCCACCGCTGACTTCTCCGTTGGTCACTAAGCGTCCTCCGAAGTACAAAATCCCAACTTTCAAAGCCAGACCTGCAAACTGTAAGTAGGACAGTAAATAGTTAAACTGGCAATTTTTGCCTTCCACAAGTCCATGTGTTTATCAAAGTAACTTATCTTTGTAAACTATATACATTATACATGGCAGTAATATACATTGAGATCGTCAATTTGTACAGTTGTAAAACAGATGAAAAAGTAAAAACGACTAATTTCTGTGATTTTGAATACTAAGCTGCCATCAGATGAACCAAGATAAAATGGATTTTCAAAGCTGGAGATCAACTAAAAAAAACTTATCAATATGATAGTTAACACAATTAAAAATAAACTTTTCACTTTAGTTCACACATGACCCTTGGAAGTTACCTTAATCTTCTACTCCACTCCTCAGTATACATACCCCAAAATACTCCATTCTACCAATACTGACTCCATATTCATTAGCAGCTTAAAGGGACACTCCAGGCACCAAGAAATGTTTTACAGAATTCGGCACCATAACACTGCCTCCTTAGCCACGCCCCCTCATGCCAGAAATACTTTCTTATCAAAAGTATAGACCCCAACAACAGTGAGTGAGCTTTACTTAATTCACAACCTGGCTGCAGACAGCCAGAGAGTCACTGCACCAGAGAGGTGAGATCATGTGGCCCAGTCTGTTCGGCAGTGTCTCTCTGGTTTTAGCCACAGGTCGAGTCCCACCTTGAGTAGGACTGTAATTCAGTCTACCTTCCATGAAACGTCTGGTCATTGTGGCATTCAGAGGGCTCCCGTGCTACGGAATCCCTTTATAGCTACGCCTCCGAATATGGCAAAATTGACACAAACTTGCATGCGTCATGGACACGCACACATGTTTTGGCATCATAAGATCATTTCTGGCCAATCCCTGCCATCCTATAGCCATTTAAACTGATTATCAGTGTCCTGTCGTGATTTCCATTTACTGGTAATCAGAGATTGCGTTGACATTTTGACCTTGGCTTGTACTTGACTATTATTATTTCTGGTATCCTTGATCTATTGGCTTGTCTACTCGTTTCTGCCCTATTGTGCATCCCCAATCTTGGCTTGTCTGTGATCATTCTATATTTATATTAAGTCTGGCCACTCACAGGCCTGGTAATACGTACATATCTAAGAGTTTACAATATATATATAGCTTTACTTAGACACAGTGTGTTGGGTCATTGTATATCCTGACACAGAGAAACTGCAGACAGTTATTACTTTACCATGTGTCTCCCCATGTGTTCTCTCCTAAAGGTGTGACATTTTGTCCATTTATGACTTAAATAATAGACTGTACTAGTTTTCCACCTTCCATTTGGTTTTGTATTTCATGTCCTATTACAGCTTTTCCCACTGGAACTGAAGTTGCAACACTTCGGGAAAATATAATGGGAACATAATAACTGGGAAGGAAAGAGGTAGAGTGGGAAAAACCTTTTGGAATGGCGTTATTCTAAAATAGCTGCCTCTCGACTGACAAAATGGATGCATTTTAAACAAGCTATTGCCAATGTATTGTATTTAGACACAAACAAAATGATCAACTGTCAACATTGGCTTATACTTCTTAATAAAAAAGCTAACCTGAAATCTTTAGATAAGCTCATATATTTTTTTGTAATTTTCTACAATGTTACAAGAAATGAAAAGATCTTAAATCCCAATCTGGATACTCGGACACCAATAAAATGCTTATCCCGAGACGACACCTTTTCTTTATACTCACGCTGTTGGCCACATTGGAGCAGCCATAGGCAAGGGCCTCCATTTTGTTGAGCTGGTAGGTATCATGCAATCTGCTTTCATAGCGCTGGCTTTCACCCTCCTCATTAGCAAAACTCCTCACAGTCTTCATGTTGGAGAAAGCCTCCAGTGCAACCTGATTAGCTTTTGAAAGAGATTCCTGGACTTTCACAGCCAGGCTCTGCAGGGAAGACATGGGATATAAATAAATATATTATATACACATATATAAAGAATACTGAGTGCACCTTTTACAGTAGCTATTACACGTGTGATGGATGCAGGCACAAAGTTAATAGAACTGTTTGGGTAACAGGAAGAAGTATCTAGATACTTACTGAGGTTTTGGACACTATGGAATTCAAATCTCAAATAGCCCTAACCTCTTCATTAGCAATAAAGAATGAATTTGGGAATAGATCAACATCTATAACTACATCTTCCATGATGCTTAGTCATTTTAAAGGTATGCAGAGCATCATGGGAGTTGTAGTTCTATGACAGCTGGGGATCTACCTTTTGGACACCTCTGCCCTAAAATCTAACTAATCACAGCATAGCTAAGATAAACTGGTGAGTCCAGGTGAGTTATAGTCCAATTCATAGTTGCTGAAGCAAGGAATATAGTTTTAATATATTAGGAACATATTTAATGTATAACAAATGTAATTGATGTGATTGTTGAGTTTCAGAAAGTTATTGTTAATGCATATACTCATTATTAAATACGTAATCAGACCAAAAGCCATTGTATTTAGCTACACGTACTGCATTTTTCAATAAATACACCTTTCAGTGAATTTAATTAGTGTCATAATTTTTCTCCAAACTGGAGCCTTACACATATCATGACATCTGCCCATAAGCCCCCCTAACTCCCAGTCCTAGGCACTGCCCGTCTTTTAGAATACACCGGTTTTGTAGTGAAATGGTTACTACTTTTCCATTCAGTTGCAAATATAAATTTTAATAAACTGATGTACAACATCGACATCTTACAAGGCAGTTTAAAAAATGCCCCACTACAGATCTAAAAGGATGTGTTACTGCAGGGCAGTAATATAAACAAACAGCATTGTCAACCTTTCTATAAGTACCTATCTCAATGTCCTGCTAACAAAAACATAGCTTTCTGACTGCAGCACGTATTGGCATTAAAGTGAATATATATAGTTTATGTGCATCATAATCATCAGGATTAACAATACTAAACAAATAAATTGGAAACCAAAGACACAAGGACAGAAAGAGGGTGATAAACTTGTGTAGTGGATGACAACTGCCTCACCTGGGAAAAAGTTCCTGAGAGGTTTGGCACAAGTGTGATGACACACAGACACATCAAAGTGAAAAGTGTCAGCTTTGGGGACAAGCTCAGCATATAAGCAATGAGGAATACAGCTCTCATGAAGTACCACACTAACAGGCTCAGATTACTGCTCAGAGATTCACTCATTGCCGTGATATCTGAAGTAACGCGAGATGTGATGTCCCCTGCAAGAGAAATCGCGCCATTCAATAGTTTGTAATATCATGGGTTATTTGTAAGAAAAAGCATTGATAATGCTGCATACTATTACACAAAGCTAAATAGAGGTTCTTAACAGTTACCTGTGGGTACGGTGTCAAAAAAACCTATCTCCTGCTGCAGGACAGAGCGGAGAACCTGTCCCTGGGTTTTAGTGTGTATTCTGCTCATCGTGATATTGTAGATACAGTCACACAGGAATTCTGTCACTGCACTGCCAAGACAAAATTCATTGTTATATTCAGAGCTTTTCTGTGTTTGAAAAAAATTACTTTGATTTCCAATTCAAAGGAACATTCTAAGCACCAAAACAACTTTAGTTTAATGAAACAGTTTTGGTGTATAGATCATGTCCCTGCAGTCTCACTGTTCAATTTTCTGCCATTTATTTTGATTTCCCTGTGAATAACCCTGTGTGACTCACCTAGAGATGGTGATCAGACTCATAGCTGTGATGGCACTTTTAAATGCTGAGGGATCTTCTTTATTCAGAATCCAATCGGTCATGCGCCCTGTGTAGGAAGGCAGAGCCATCTCACCTGTAGCGCAGTAAAGGAAATAAGACATTATAACACATGATAAGAATATGACATGAATTTTTAGGTGTGGTTTCACCACACTGTATTTATGCTGACTGGGCATTCAATGCCATCAAAAGGTCACTAAGAAGTAAAAAAAAAATTATAATTAATAAATCAACATTTTTATGTATACTTTTTGGTTTGTATATACAGAGCAAACTAATTCACAAGGATATTTCTTGTGTTAACAGTTTTTACAATTTGGGATCACACATACAGATCTGGCTGAAGGGTTTCTGTATAATAAAAAGGCCAATGGATTCAACAATATTTTTCAGTTGTTGACAGTAAAATCCATTACTTACCCCATGATGAAAGTATCAGAAATACTGATGCAAGTGTAAATCTATATACATAAGGCTTTAAGAGAGTAAGCAAGCGCATCAAGGAGCCTGAAGACGTTGCAGTCTCATCCTCTTTCTTCTCAGCGGAAGGACCCAGCTCGTGCCAAAGAATAGCTGATGTTAATGTGAGGAGGTAGTTCAACACTAACAAGTCCCAACGTTTCCAGCTGTAGAGGATCTCGGAGCTGCTATTTGGTGACACTACGCTGCATATAGTGGCACAGGATGGGGTAAGAAGGCTGAGGACAATGTAGGACACTGGAAGAGGGTCTCCCTCCATCCATGAAGGCATCTTAGACCAGCACCTCATGACACGCACACCAAGAATGAGAACCAATAATCGTGATAGACCAACCAACCAGACCCCAAGGATGGGCAAATACAAGGTGTTTATTTGAGGCAGACATAACCCCATCAACTGTAGGGTTGTAATGTCCAGAACAACCAAACATACTGGTGGGCTGAAGCATTTCATTATGAAGGAACCTGCAAAACATTTGAAGTGACACATGGATACATGTAATACGTGGATGACACGTACTAGGTTTTAATAAAGGCACGGGCATAACACAGAGATAACACAGATATATAGACAGGACTGTGATAGGACATTTTAGATCACAGCTACAAGAAAATTGAATGCTTGTTACTGTGGCTTTGGAATGTAAGTTAAGATTATATTAAAGTATATTTATTTACATGAGTGCGTCACTAATGTATTTATAAATCATAGCACAGCCATGGTAGAGGACATTACTCCCACGTTTGTCAAATTTCAAATTGTTCTAACAATTAGTTCCAGAGAAGAAGTTGTTTAAAGAATCCAGGGCTGGTTTCTGGTCATGCGTCCTGTTGGAATATAACCAGGTTTAAAACAGGGTTTATGGCTAAGGGTACCCGCAGGAATACAGGGAGAAGTCTGACACACAATGCCTGTTGGAACTTATTTGCATGACCAGCTGGGAATTCTGGGATATTTCCAGAAACACGATTTCTCACAGTTTCTGTGTCCAAAGAGCACGTCCCAAAGTCCAAATTTAGATAGGCAGGTAATGCACAACAGTAAACTGTGGGGAGTTTAATCATGCTTGGACTCACCACAAAGTGTTGGCCACCCAGAAGTAGAAATGTCCCCCTACTGAGTGTGTCATTGACACGAGTGTCAGAATTAATTACAGTTGCCATAAACAGCAGCTGCTGTCCTACAGAGTACTCCTATCAATCTCAGGCAGCCCAGAACAAGATTGCCAATGCTGCAATAAGATACAACAGCGTCACGTCACACTGCGCTTAATATTTATTACAGTGTGATGTGGCACTGTACAAAATGTTAAATGAAAATGCAATCTGCCCGTCGAATTATATATTTGAATGTAATGTGCTTCTAATTGCTGTATTGCTGTATAGGATTTACAGATCACACACTGAGTGATAAAGTGAAAACACACAAAGAAAATAATAAATAGAGGTAGATTAGACTAAAGAGCAAACTGCTTGCTTAGTAGAGGATCAGCGGAACTAAGAGAGCAAAACTGCTTAGTAGAGGGAGAGAGGATCAGACTAAAGAGGCAAACTGCTTAGTAGGGGAGGGATCAGACTAAAGGGGGCAAACTGCTAGTAGAGGATCAGCAGACTAAAGAGAGGCACAGACTACTTAGTAGGAGGGGATCGGAGCCCAAAGAGCCTTGAGCTTTGTAGTAGGGGATCAGACAGCTAAAGAGGCAGACTGTAGTAGAGGGGATCAGACTAAAGGGGCAGACTGTAGCAGTGGGGAGGATCAGACTAAATGGGGGCAAACTGTAGCAGTAGGGGAGGGTCCCAGCGGGCCCAAGGGGGAGCCTTGGAAACTGGCAGGTGGGAAGGGATCGGAGCTAAAGGGGCGGGCTTTGTAGTGGGGGATCAGACTAAAAAGGGGGGCAGACTGGCAGGTGGGGAGGATCAGACTAAAGGGGCAAACTGCTTGAGTAGGAGGGATCAGACTAGGGGCAGACTGTAGTAGGGGATCAAGCTAAGGGGCAGACTGCTTAGTGGGGGGATGTCAGACTAAAGGGGCAGACTGCTTAGTGGGGAGGATCCCAGACTAGGGAGCAAACTGTAGTGGGGGATCAGACTAAAGAGGGCAAACTGTAGTGGGGATCAGACTAAAGGGGAAAACTGCTTAGTGGGGGATCAGACTAAGGGGGGCCGAAACTGGCAGTGGGGATCAGTGAGTCCACAAGGGGCAAACTGTAGTGGGGGAAAACTTCCAGCTAAGAGGGGGCAAACTGTGAGTGGGGGATCAGACTAAGGGGGCAAACTGCTTAGTGGGGGAGGTGATCAGACTAAGGGGGGCAAACTGTCAGTGGGGAGGGGGATCAGACTAAAGGGGGGCAGACTGTAGTGGGGGGGGGGGATCAGACTAAAGGGGGGCAGACTGTAGTGGGGAAGGGGATCAGACTAAAGGGGGGCAGACTGTAGTTTTGGGATATGAGAAGGTTCCAAGGTTATAACATTATTACTGGTTTCACTGGGGGCTGGGTCTTATATCTGCTTCATCACCTCTAACAGTAATTTAAGCTTTTAATAACACATATCTATATAGGGATATTGAATTGATCAGGGCAAGGTTTCCAATTTAGCTGAAAATTGCCCTTTTACTTCCTGACAAGTCGCACATTAGTGAATATAACCCAGACAGTTAGCCTAGACAGGATGGTTTAACAAAGATACAGGAAGCCAGTAAAATGAGGAGGACATCACATGAAGTAATATTATAATATTGTAATATTTCGGGTATTTACCTCACTCCTGGCTGCTCTCCCCTCTGTGTGTGTCTGCAGCTCGGCTGGGGGAGATATGGCTTCTCTCTCCAAACATGGAAATCCCCCTCTGTATGTGAATATATAGCCGAACAGAAAGTGAAAGTAAACTCCAGTCTGTATCGAACCGACACCCATTTCTTGTAATCCACGCGGATACAAAGAAAGTCTAGGTCCCCCATCCACCCCTCTCCCCACCTCCAGGCTCTAATAACAATTCTCCTCCGAGCTCCCACCGCCAGACACCGGGCAGACCCTGCAGACACTGACCATAAGCACTGACAGTAAGTACTGGGTTCATCTCCTCTCCCTCATCTCCATGGATTCCTCCATCTGTCTGCTAACAATTGTCCTCTGATGGTTCCCAGTAGTCTATCTTATTATTATTATTATTATTATTATTATTATTATTATTATTATTATTAAACACTGTCTGCCTGCTAACAATTGTCCTCTGATGGTTCCCAGTAGTCTATCTTATTATTATTATTATTATTATTATTATTATTATTAATAAACACTGTCTGTCTGCTAACAATTCTCCTCTGATGGTTCCCAGTAGTCTATCTTATTATTATTATTATTATTATTATTATTAAACACTGTCTGTCTGCTAACAATTGTCCTCTGATGGTTCCCAGTAGTCTATCTTATTATTATTATTATTATTAAACACTGTCTGTCTGCTAACAATTGTCCTCTGATGGTTCCCAGTAGTCTATCTTATTATTATTATTATTATTATTATTATTATTATTATTAAACACTGTCTGTCTGCTAACAATTGTCCTCTGATGGTTCCCAGTAGTCTATCCTATTATTATTATTATTATTATTAAACACTGTCCGTCTGCTAACAATTGTCCTCTGTTTCCCATTAGTCTATCTTATTATTATTATTAATTATTATTATTATTATTATTAAGCATTGTCTGTCTGCTAGGCCCCTGCCTTCACTTTACGGTTAATAGTTTACATTAACTGCTTTATATCACTTTTTTTTGTAACAGAACAGTTTGATAAATAAATCCCACCTTGTCCTGTAATGCGACCCTCCATATAATCCTCTCTGCACCGTTTTATCGTATCCCAGTTTCTCTATATATAATCCTCCTTTTATTGTGCTCTGGTCTATGCATATCTCTATGCAATCCTAACCATATATATTTCCATACCTCCCAAGCGTCCCTATTAAGGAGGGACAGTCCCTATTTTGGGCCCAAATCTCGCTCTCCCTCTTTGTATCTTAATTTCCCTCTTTTCTAGCAGCTCCATATTGTTGATGTGTCTGAGTGTAAATAGAGCCCCACAGCAATAATACTCCCAATAATGTGTCTTTAAACTACAGTAAACATGTTTAGAAATCAGTGTGAGTAAATAAGATACATTGCTCTTATTCTAAATTACATTTTCGTTGCATAAATAGATATTAGTAAATCACCCAAAATTTCTCAGGACAGCCCGCCCCGGTTTACACCCCAACTCACATCCCTAAAGTGAAAGTGTCCCCCTTTGCCCATTTGAAATGTTGGAAGATATGTTTTTATCATTCTCACTCTCTACTTCACCCCTTATAATCCTCATTGTACCCTTTTATCATCTTATCTGTAACTTCATTATTAGGTAAATTATTTTTTAAAAGCTATTTTGCCAAACTAAAATCTTAATTTTTGTTTTCAATAACCCCTTTACACCTGCACACACGACCTCCAAGTATTGCAACTATACCCCACAATCGTGTATAAACTGCAAGTTACCGGTAAATTTGTTTATTGCAAATTAATTTAGATTAATTATAGTCAGTGAGCTCACAACACAGCTGCACAGTGAGCCGCGACACTGCAAACCTCTGAACAATGAATACAGAGACTAGCTCCCTGTATCCAGCGCTGCAAGAACGCCCTTCAATATAACTACAGCTCCTTATATACACACAATGCAATCACAATTTGTTTGCGCTATAGGTGTTAATGGGGACTTTATGTTTGAGTTTTGCCTAAGGCCTCAAAAAGTCTGGAGCCACCACTGCCCCCCACACTGCGTTTTCTCCATTTAATACTCACTGTGTCCTTTTATCATTTCTCACACTGTCCTTCTACGTGCAATCCTCACTGTACTATTTTATTGTCTCTCACTGTGGCTTATCTTCCCAGAATATGTACTGCCTTAAAGTGGCACTCTAAGCACCATAACCACTACAGTCTGCTGTAGTGGTTGCAGTGCCAGGAGTCCCCTTGTCCTGTAAGTAGTACCGTTAGCGGTAAGTAGTCAAAACATTTTTGATAGTTAGTGTAAGGTGTCAATAGTCTACATAAAGTGTCCATGGTTTGATAATTACTTTTGGTATTGTCATCTTACTCACTTATTGTCATCTTAGCCAATAAATGCTGTGAAAAGTTGAGCAAAATTGATATTTGTAAAGTGGAATGAGAACTTCAATTTTTACATTAAGGAGAAGACCAGAAGTATAACGGGCACCTTGTGGGTGCAGGTACATGTCACACCGTTTGACTGTGAAAGTTAATTGAATTACTTTCTGTGGGATTGCTTTGAAAGACATCTTGCTATGTGTTATATATTCAGTTTTATAATTCAATTCTCTTTTATGTCTCCAGGTTTTCGCACCAAGATATCTCTTCTGAAGCCTTCAGGATGACTTTTTTATGGTTCTATTTCACAGTCCTCATACTGGACTCCTCTCTCACGTATATCTCCTCTAGCATAGTCTATACACATTTCCCCTATGATCTTCAGCCAGCTTTATGGATAGTGTGTCTCATTAAATTCTTTGTTCTGGGCATAGTGTCCTGTAAGCTCTATCGCCCAGCCTGGGTCTCCTCTTCTCTGCTGTATATACTTACTATGTGCCTTACCCCACCGCTATATCAGACATTGAGACTCCATCTAACCTCACACTCCCCTGAGTTATATTCCATCCTCTCCCACTCCATAGTCTCCCATCTCACCCTGCTCACCGCCTGCCTACTTTGGGATCTGGTGTCACCACACATTCTCCCAAAAGAGTCTTCTGAAGAAGAAAAGACTGGACAGAAGAAGAACAGGGAGAATTTCATACGACTTGTGACGTATTCCAAAGCAGACTGGCTGTTCCTTAGTGGAGCATTTGTGTTCCTTTCTCTAGCTCTTATCTGTGAGTTTCTATTTCTCCTTGTGTTTCGATAGTGGCACAAAGGGTTAAAATTGTGTAAGCAGAAATCGAGTGATTTAACATGAGAAGCTGCAGGAAGTGGGGCTTCAGGGAGAATCATAATTAGTATGGTGTTTTAGTTAGTGGGGAAGCTTAAAGAAGGAGCTTTAGGGCAAAATAACAATGGATGGTAGAAATAGAGCAATGACAGTGGGAGGTTTAATGTCGTCATAGGAATTCTAGTTATTTGCAGTGTTTGCAGTGTTAACAATGATATTACAAAACATCCAAACATGTAATAGTATATAGAAGAAGACCGTAGCTATATGAAGGAATACCATGGCTTATATTGAACAAATGAAAGATCTTTAAATAGAGGATACGACAGGGAACATTTAGAGGAGAAACAGATCTGTTTGTAATAGCCAGGATTTACAGAAGATTAAAAGGTTGCTCCAATCATAAAACAGTGTATTTTATAAACTGCTGGTTTTGGTTGAAGCAACCATTTGTTCATTGGTTCCTCCTTTCCCCCACAAAGCATCCCCCAAGAATATAAGAAAAGTTTAAACGTACCTTTTTACAAACGCCAAGGCCAAGTTCTCCTTCTGCCCGCTTCTCATCTGTTGATGTTACTCCCCATCGCTAGAAGATGAGGGAAGGTGGCCTGAGGAAAGGACATGGGTGGCATGGAGGAGGGGCGTGCCCCCATTGGGTGCCTGGTGCCAACATGCTCTGTCTGGTGACAGTTTTGCACTGAATTAATATTGGCCAATACTGAATTCTAACAACACCCCTATAATACTGACATTGGTGAAGTTACATCTCCAGCAGCTGGCGGGGTTAATCTCTGTATGTGCAGTGCTTCATAGCAAAACACTGCACATACTGACCCCAGACACCATGACCACTACAAATCACTGGAGTGGTCATGGTGCTTGGAGTAACCCTTTAAGTGGCAGTCATGATTTCTTATATCATCAAATGTTAAAATCGTTTTCTTTTTTCCCCCCTACAGGTGAGATGTTTATTCCATTCTACATGGGTCGCGTGATTGATATCTTGTCCTCTAAATACAAGGAAACAGAATTCTTGGTGGCTATATTTTACATGTCCTTTTTTTCTATTTCAAGGTAATAAGCAAATACCAGAAGAGAATGTATTGAGGTGTAGCTTTATACATCTAAATACGAGGCTGAACACTTGGTGTTTGACATATACACTTATTCACTTAACTCTGAAATGTGGTCAATTATAATCCGAATGGCAAACTTGAGGCTAAAACAGAATATGTGGGAAATTCAGCAAAATTTACAGCTTGATTGTTTTAGTGTAAATTTTGCCATTTTGACTTTAAAGGACCACTATAGTGCCAGGAAAACATACTCGTTTTCCTGGCACTATAGTGCCCTGAGGGTGCCCCCACCCTCAGGGACCCCCTCCAACCCGGCTCTGGAAGGGGGAAAAGGGGTTAAAACTTACCTTTTTCCAGCGCTGGGCGGAGAGCTCTCCTTCTCCGATCCTCCTCTTCTCCTCCCATTCGGCTGAATGCGCACGCGCGGCAAAAGCTGCGCACGCGCGGCAAAAGCTGCGCACGCGCGGCAAAAGCTGCGCACGCATTCAGCCGGTCACATATGAAAGCATTCATAATGCTTTCCTATGGACGCTGGCGTGCTCTCACTGTGAAAATCACAGTGAGAAGCACGCAAGCGCCTCTAGTGGCTGTCAATGAGACAGCCACTAGAGGAAATAGGGAAGGCTTAACCCATTCATAAACATAGCAGTTTCTCTGAAACTGCTATGTTTATGAAAAAATGGGTTAACCCTAGCTGGACCTGGCACCCAGACCACTTCATTAAGCTGAAGTGGTCTGGGTGCCTAGAGTGGTCCTTTAATCAACTACAACTGAGAATTTAGAGAATAACTTTGCCAGGAATGTATTTAACAGTAAACTGTGGTGAATTGAATATGAAATTGTGAATTATAGGTCCAAATTGAATATGAAATTGTGAATTATAGGTCCAAATGGCTGACAGAAAAAAACAAAAAAAATTCCATTTTAGCTCTTTTTCTAGTTTGGCTATTTCAGTCGAATCTTGTACATTCCATTGTTAATTCATTAAATCACTAAATCAAATATTTACATTTATCAATTTATAACACTACGGAAACTGTCACTTGTTTGTGTGGGTAACAAATATCAAGGGCCTAAAATTTATGCTACTAGCCATTCCTTAAAGGACCACTCTAGGCACCCAGACCACTTCAGCTTAATGAAGTGGTCTGGGTGCCAGGTCCAGCTAGGGTTAACCCATTTTTTCATAAACATAGCAGTTTCAGAGAAACTGCTATGTTTATGAAGGTTAAGCCTATTTCCTCTAGTGGCTGTCTCATTGACAGCCACTAGAGGCGCTTGCGTGCTTCTCACTGTGATTTTCACAGTGAGAGCACGCCAGCGTCCATAGGAAAGCATTATGAATGCTTTCCTATGTGACCGGCTGAATGCGCGCGCAGGTCTTGCCGCGTGTGCGCATTCAGCCGAAGGGGAGGAGAAGAGGAGGATCGGAGGAGGAGAGCTCTCCGCCCAGCGCTGGAAAAAGGTACGTTTTTACCCCTTTCCAGAGCCGGGCGGGAGGGGGACCCTGAAGGTGGGGGCACCCTCAGGGCACTATAGTGCCAGGAAAACGAGTATGTTTTCCTGGCACTATAGTGGTCCTTTAACAGTTACTCACCACAGCGAGTGTAGAATATCCATCGCACACTAACCAGACGCAAATAATTACTCACTAGGGCTACAGACTCACTTTCCCAATGGCTAGTGGAAAACTAGAGTATTTAATATAAAATGCCTTGCTGAAAGTAACACTATACAGGAATACAAACAGATATTGCTAACACTAGCGTTATTTTACATCTTTTTTTTAATTTAGTAACTGTTTATTTGTCATTGAAGCACTTAGAATGGCTGTCAGGAAGTCAGCCACTAGAGGGATGTTAACCCTGCAATAAAAAAAATGCTGTTCCTACAGCACAGCGCTGTTTTCAGTTGCAGGCCTACAAGTACAGGAACATGGCACCTAGACCACTTCATTGAGATAAAGTGGTTTGGCAGCCTATAGAATCTCTCTAAGTCCCCTTCAAGTTATAACTGTTCAATGTTTATTTGTTCCATTAGGGCTTGTGCCTTCATAACTACTTGATGCATTAAAAAAAATAAACTAATGTATTTGGCAGCTTTGGAAGAGTTTATAATTAACAGATGCACACTCCACAGTTCTGTATCTGCAGGTTGCCGCGGTGGCCTCTTCATATTTTCCCTATATCGGTTGACTCGGCGCCTACGGATTCTTCTGTTCCGTGCTGTCATCAAACAGGACATAGCTTTCTTTGAAACTACAAAAACAGGTGAGAAATTGGTAATTCACATGTTACAAATATAGGGATGGATTCTTTTAGCAGAGGACGGGTTTATTCTGCTTATTGAATACCCCTGGGGGAAGGAAAGGTGGGTGGACATGCCACTATTGGAGGGCAAGGGGGGTGGGGGTGAACTATAACATGTCCACTCCCCATTTGTTTAATTAACTAGAGCCCCCTTCTGCTGTCAATGGGTGGGGGAAAGTAATTTGGTTAGGAACCTCACCTGCCGCTATTGGGGGGCAATGAGACTTCATCCTAAATATTATAATAGCCCACAACGACTGACCCTGGGTTCTGTCCATTCACCATTTCTTATTTAAAAGTCTCCTGCCCAATGCCCATGGGTGGGGGCCCTGGGGGAATTATGCCCCCCACCTGCTATTTCACATGGGGCCTGGCTAGAAATTGTACAGCAATGGCCAGCATTGTTAGTTTAACAAGTTAGTAAACTTGTCCAAGGGGCATAGGGAGTTTTTAAACCTCTGTTATAGTAACGTTTTTAACAGCACTAGCAGCAAGCGGGCAGATAGTTTGGATTTTTTCTAAATCCAGGCCCTAATTTAAATTTAAATGGCCCTAGATCTGCAGCATTCAGCCCAGTTCTCAGCTGTCCAGCGAAATCCACACCAAATTTTAGATCTGATCAGGACCTGAATTGCAAAATCTAGACAGTGTTAACCCCTTAAGGACACAATTTCTGGAATAAAAGGGAATCATGACGGAATATTTCCATCATGTGTCCTTAAGGGGTTAAATAGTGTGAATGTCCAGATTTTCAGTCCAAATGGGCTCACACTGCACCGGATGGTTTAAGGTGCACTTTAGAATCCTGATAATGTTTGAACTCAGGTTTCTATAATCAAACTATAAATCAACCTTCCCATATTTCTATACATGGCAATAGTCTCATGATGCAAAACAAGGACGAATTGCCTAATAAAAAGGTATATTGTTATGGCTGTGACATCCTGTTGGACTATGGGCTACCTCATGGATAACAGACTCAGCAGAAATCATTGCATAAAGCAGAGTGTACATAGACTCTTGTACAGTGTGTTATAGCAGCTTGCTCTGTCTGAAACATAGATGAGAATTGTGTATTTAGGGTAAATCATACAGGATTATTGACTAAAGTGAGAATTAAAAGAATTTAAGGCCAAAGTAGCCCAAGCGACAGCATAACTGACTCTTTTCCTGTAATGCTATTTTGACGTTAAATTTAAGTTCTCAATTTCCACCAACTCATATGAAAATCAGATTTTGATAATTGTCTGTATGTAGTTTCATTACTCAGAGTCACAGCTGTTTAAATCCCAGGATGAGTGAGCAATCCTAGCACAAAATTACATTGTCACCAAGACTGCATTCTATATGTGATCCTACCTGGTGATGAGGCTGTGCTCAATGGCTTAGTCCAACACTTGTATCCTATGGTTACTGTCTGAATTTGGATGGATTTGCCCTCAGATTGGTGATGGGTGCCAGGAGGCCCTTGGTTTTTAGTATTTATTTCAAAAAAACTTTTTCACAAGAAACTTTGTCCTCCCAAATGTCACAGTTTTGTTTTGTGTTGTTGAAAATTCAAGCCATGCATTCTGTCTGCAATGTTTTTTTGGTTTTTTTTTTATGTGCATTATGTTGTTTGTGTAGAAATCATTAGGCGTTCCGCCTTCATATTTCATTTCATGTTATAAAACAAAATGTTATAGTGATATATGATGATATATACAGTGTAAATAATTCTGTCATTTACATGTTTTTGTTGGTGACCGAGTCACTTTACGTCATGAATAATCACACAAAAAACTGTGGTAAACAGGCATATCTTTATAAATGAGAAAATGAAGGCACTCTAAGAGCTTGCTCATTCTGTATCCTGTACAATATAATTTTATTTTATGCAGCATGTGGTTGGTCAACGTACAATGTAATCATTCTTTACTATCCACTTTGTAGGTGACATCACATCTCGCTTGTCCAACGACACAGCCCGTGTGAGTCGCGCCATTGCTGGCAATGTAAACATCACTTTGCGTTCGCTTGTGAAATGCATCGGGGTCTATTCCTTCATGATCTCCATCTCCTGGCAGCTTACCCTCCTTACCTTTCTAAGCTCGCCGTTCACCTGGATCATACAGAAACTGTACAATCACTACCACGAGGTATGGCTGATAAAGTAATTAAGTACTCAGGATGATGGCCAGGGATTATCAAAATGAACTATGCACCCATAATGAGGGCTGTCAGATCGCCACCTATAGAAAATACATGTATGACAGCTTCCATTTGACCAACACCTGAAGTATGCAAGTTAATATATTTTCCGAATTTAAAATGTGATTGTTCAAGCCTGTCTATAATCAGTGATAGCAATAGGCTGGGTAGGATGTGCTAATTGTGTAGTGAAAAGTATTTGGAACTAGTGATGTCCCGAATGGTTCGCCGAACGCTTCGCCGCGGGCGGCGAACATAAACATAAACTTTGACCCTGTACCTCACAGACAGCAGACACATTCCAGCCAATCAGCAGCAGACCCTCCCTCCCAGACCTTCCCACTTCCTGGACAGCTCACTAAGAATGCAGCTTCACAATGAATGTAAAATGAATGCTGTCCAGGAGGTGGGAGGGTCTGGGAGGGAGGGTCTGCTGCTGATTGGCTGGAATGTGTCTGCTGACTGTGAGGTACAGGTTCAAAGTTTATGTTTATGTTTGCCGTCCGCGGCGAACCGTTCGGGACATCACTACTTGGAACCAGTACTTTTGGGTATGTTTAGATTAGGTTAAGGCAATGCAGGGGAGTTTATTGAGTTACTCCAATGGACATTAGAGGGATGTCCACCTGCCACGTCAAGGCAAACTTCTTAGGTGGGTCCTACACTGACTATTCACCTTGCTTCCTTCTAGCAAATATATCTCTAATGAGACAGAGTGGGATATTTTTCTTTTTTGGAGTAACTAAATAACCTCCATTTCTTTGAATATGCACAGGGATTTGGGAATAGTGCAGATAACTTGTTTCTTTGGTTTTTACTGAATGCAGGGGAGTTGTTGGAAAACAGTATTTCTGACAGAGTGTAAAAGTTTGCCTGTGAAAGAAAGAAGGATAAAAGTACTGAACTCAAGGATTATGTGTGCAAATTTAAAGGGTTAACTAACATGACCCTGCCTACTTTTAGAAATGGTTGTGGTGGTAGGAATCTATATGTGCAATGTTTCCTGTACAAACGATCATATTCAGAGGTATTCACTCTTTAATTGTATGCACTTTATTATTATTTGCACATATGATATGTCTTTGAGCTTTAATATTTTAATATACCATTATGTATGGGCGTTATGGTATCAGTAATATCATGTGACATATTTTGTTGTATCATGTGATTTGGTTGTTTGTTTAGTAACTCCATCCCCTTTTCCTGTTTTAAGCCAATTTATGAATTCACTGTGCGTTATGCATTGGTTTGACAAAGACTGTGGTTAGTGGCCAAAATATTGCTTTGTACACATAAGACATTTTAATAAAAGGACACTGGTAAGAACATGCAAGCAAGCTGTGAAAAATACTGCCCCCTAGTGAATGACAATAGATTGGCACTGGGCTCTTTAAAATGAATGTGTAAAGACCTATGTTTTAAGCCTATAGATTATTGGTGTCATTACTGATGATCTCAGCTTTCATTGCATCTCCATAGCGAATCATTGGGGGGACAGGGGGCTACTGTGCATGTGTGGCAATCACCACTCCGCATCTCCTAATGGAGCTGTGTTATAGCACTGCATCTCTACGGTGAGCATTCGCTGTCTTCACAAGTCAGCGTTTACATTTGTCATACTGCAAGGACAGTCTATTTACACCATAACCACTATATTAAGCTGCAGCGGTTCTGGTGCTTTAAGATGTAAGACAGGGATTGTTTTGTTTATCACTGGAGAGTATGTGCGGTAAGGTTATTCAGAAACAGGATGTAAAAGTTGTTGTTTTTTCTCTGATGTGTCAGGATCTGGTGCAGAAGGTGCAAGATTCTGTTGCCCGATCCAGTGATATTGCCAAAGAGATCCTGGAGTCGGTGAGAACAGTGCACAGTTTTAATGCAGCCGGCGATGAGGCCAAGAGATACGAAGATTCCCTACAAGAGATCCATAAATTGCAGAGCTACAGGGATATGGTCCAAGCTGTCTATCTACTGCTGATAAGGGTAATCGTCATTCAATCTTCTTTAAGACTGCTACAGTGACAGCTACTAATGCAGCTACAAGTCGAGGAATAGAAATTATAGTGATACCATCTGGCACTTTCGATGATCTAAAACAGGCATAGGCAACCTTCAGCACTCAAGATGTTTTGGACTACACCTCTCATGATGCTTTGCCAACATTATGAGTGTAACGGCATTATGGGGGATGCAGTCCACAACATCTGGAGTGCCAAAGGTTGCCTATTACTGATCTAAAGGGAGCAAATGGTGTAGAATAAAAAAATGAATGGATCGGGAGGGAATGCCATGTACATAAGATTGATCTTAGAACAGACATTGTAAACTACTTTCTTATGAGAGAAGTGTGACTATAATGGGTAAGCAATGCTTGTTGTGTGGCTGACTTGTCCAGTCCTGGTTTCTGGTCACCCCGGGAGGAACAGCAGTTGACAATATATGGCAGAGCTGTAGGCCAATGTCCAATGATACACTAACAGCTAAAATATTTTCCTTATCATGAGTTGAAATGATTTTAACTAAATATAAGGACATTTACACCAGAAAGAGGCTGTATAATGTCCATGCATTTATGATTCCACTTCAAGGGCAACATGTGCAGATTTGCCTACAAACCCCTACGGTCTTACGTGTCTTATCTGTCAGTATATTCAATTGTTTGTAGATATTTCTGTGTAATAATTTCAGACTATGTCTTTATCTAAGGGGATTGCTAATGTTGGGTTGTTGATAGGAGACATGTTATATGGTAGTACATATTTTTGTTATAAGGTGGTAAATGTTTTATTTACCAATAGTAAATATAATATAAATATATTGGTTATCCTCAGACAACTAACCTCCTTACTCAAGTGGCCATGTTATTTTATGGACAAATCTTAATCGAACAAGGTTTCATAAGCAGTGGACAAATGGTGTCATTTATCCTGTATCAGATGGAGTCTGGAGACCACATACGTGTAAGTAATTCAGGTATTCGCTATTTCTCTCTTTCTTATTCTGCTGTTAATTTCCTTATTTCCTCTCTTTCTACTGACTCCGGTTTTACGGTATAAAACGGTTCCCCGTTAGTGTTTGTCATTTTGTATCTACCATCTTTATGGCAGGTTTTCTGAGTATTCTTCCCTTCCTTTCTCAGACCATAGTCTACATGCTCAGTGAGATGACTCATTCAGCAGGAGCTGCTCAGAAGGTTTTCCAGTACCTCGATCGGGAACCACTAGTGTCCACCTCTGGGTCCCACAGCCCTGACAAACTTCGTGGATGTTTTGAGTTCAGAAATGTCACTTTTACATATCCCTCCCGCCAAGAAATTCCTGCTCTTCAGGTAAATCGAGAATTGTTTTTCTATTTTCTCTCTGACATTCTCAGTTTCCTAACAAACACCATTTGTGAAATGGAATATTGACTGATCTGCTGATACCAATGAGAACTGCTTACTACTTCCAGTACCATTAACTGAGGAAATTATAGACTGTTTAGTGGAATAGTACTTTATCAAATTTATCTAATTAGGTGTGCAAATCCAAGCTTCACACACTATCATTCTTTAGTTCATTTCCTAAAACAAAAACATTAAAAATATTCACTCTTGCAGTTCTGTAGCATTTGCCACAAATCTCCTGCAGTGAGATCTCAACAAAGCGTATGTGGCCTGGCCAGTTGTGGTGACCATCCACAACATTAAAACCACTGACAGGTAAAGTAAATAATATTGATTATATCGTTACAATGGCTCCTGTCAAGGGGTGGGGTATATTAGGCAGCAAATGATCAGTCAGTTCTTGAATTTTATGGAAACGTAGGAAATTTTTCATAGAAAAATAGGCAAGCAAAAAGATCTGAGTGAATTTGACAAGGGCAATGTAGTGATGATTAGACAACTCTGTCAGAGAATCTTTAAAAATGCAAGTCTTGTGGAGTGTTGGTACAATGTGGTACAAGGAAGGACAGCCGGTGAACCAGCGTCAGGGTCATGGGTGCCCAAGGCTCGGTGATGTATGTGGGAAGCAAAGTCTAGCTTGTCTGGCCCAATCACACAGAAGAGCTACTGCTCAAATTGCTGAAAAATTGAATTCTGGCCATGATAGAAAGGTGTCAGTACACACAGTGCATCTCAATATGCAGCGTGTAGGGCTGCGGAACCGTCAAACAGTCAGGGTGTCCTTGATGTGCCCTTTTACTGCAGAAAGCGCCTTCAATGGAAATGTGAGCATCACAACTGGACCTTGATGCAATCTAAGAAGGCTGCCTGGTCTGATTAATCATGTTTTCTTTTAGATCAGGTGGATTGCCAAGTGTTGTTTACCTGTGGAAGAGATGGCAGGAGAATGCACTAAGGGAAGAAGGCATGCTGTCAGAAGCAGTGTTGTACTTTGGGCAATGTTCTGCTTGGAAGACTTGGGTTCTGGCATTCATGTGAATGTTACTTTGACATGTATTACCTACCTAGAGATCATTGCAGACCACGTACACGCTTTCATGGCAATGGTGTTCCCTGATGGCAGTGGATGCCTACATTATATTAGGCAGGTGGTTTTAATGTTATGGCTGATCAATACATGTTCCAGTGAGAGTGTTACATGTATCCTGTATCAGGCATTAATGGAAATAGCCATGATTAATGAGTTCAGTTTTTAAATGAAGACTGTGCAGCCCACAATTAGTTTCATTCATTAAAATTAGCTCTTACTACGAGATATCGGGAGCAGCTCATGTGAACAGAGCTCTTCTGACCTCATTTTGGCCTCAATTTAATATTTTTAGATAAGCTTTTAAAATGATTTAGTGTTTAAAAAAATATTGTACTGTAATATTTTGAAAGATGTGTATATGATACATTTTTTAATATTTTACATTTAAAAAAAAATCATTTAAAACATTTATTCAAAAATGTTAAATAATTTAAAAAGCTAATCCCAAAATATTAAATCAGGGCCTGCTTGTCAGTTACTTGCTGTTAAACCCCCATTGTATCTTGCCGTTACATCTCCATTGTAAAATTCTAAATCTTTTAGAATACGCCGGTACAATTAACAATAATAACGGAACGATTCCAGAGTGTTATGGCTGGCTGCCGTTGGTTCTTAATGCGCAATTTGCCAAGAGAGTATTGGAATGCGTTCTACTAACAAACAGTTAATCATCAATCACTGCAAATGCCACTAGTGTTACAAACAATGTATAAGATTAGGAAATAAACCTACAGTGAAATTCAACCCTTTAAATCACTGTAATACACATAATTGACAGCAATGACTTTTCACATTGTCCTAAACACTCTTAGATGGAACTTAATGTTGTAAAGGCAGCTTATCAAGTTTCAGAACAAAACAGAAGAAGCTTTGTGTTTCCATGCATAACGACTAAGAAAAACTCTTGTGATGTTTATGGTAATGTGAACATGTAGCAATAGGAGTTTATGGTTGCTTTGTTTCAAACCGTATTAAAATAATGTCTCTTTATCTCATACATGGTATCACGTATCTCTAGTATAGATCAATCTGGGAATAATTTAACCTACCAGTTATTTCATTGCAGGCAGCTGTATTGGGCGTAATTGGACAGTTCTCTTTTTTGTGGGGGGGATTAGGGGGTTTAAACGATCTTTATTATGATAAATAGCTGTATACAGGAACTTCCACACAAATATGCAGTTAGAGACATCTCTGACATGATTCTAATGAATCAGTATATGCAGAAAGAATAGTGAGTGGGGGTCAGACAGCCTCTGAGTAAAAAGGTCCCCCAGCCTTTAAAATTGCAGAAAACAAGAAAAGGAAACCAGGGCGCCACAATTAATCACAGTAGTAACTAATCAGTATTGCTGGCACGATAGTAACTAATCAGTATTGCTGGCACAGTAGTAACTAATCAGTATTGCTGGCAGGGTAGTAACTAATCAGTATTGCTGGCACGATAGTAACTAATCAGTATTGCTGGCAGGGTAGTAACTAATCAGTATTGCTGGCACGGTAGTAACTAATCAGTATTGCTGGCACAGTAGTAACTAATCAGTATTGCTGGCAGGGTAGTAAATCAGTATTGCTGGCACAGTAGTAACTAATCAGTATTGCTGGCAGGGTAGTAACTAATCAGTATTGCTGGCACAGTAGTAACTAATCAGTATTGCTGGCACGGTAGTAACTAATCAATATTGCTGGCAGGGTAGTAACTAATCAGTATTGCTGGCACAGTAGTAACTAATCAGTATTGCTGGCAGGGTAGTAACTAATCAGTATTGCTGGCACAGTAGTAACTAATCAGTTTTGCTGGCACGATAGTAGCTAATCAGTATTGCTGGCACGATAGTAACTAATCAGTATTGCTGGCAGGGTATTTAGCAGGGTAACAATGGGAAGGTATGAAACATTGTATGGACAAAGAACTGCCATAAACTGTATATATCTGCTATTATTTCTCAATGTCTCTCCGTGTCACAGGACATCTCCTTTACGCTTCCTCCTGGCAGCATTACGGCTCTGGTTGGTCCCTCTGGAGGTGGTAAGACCACCTGTGTGTCCCTGCTGGAGAGATTCTATGATCCCAGTACGGGGGAAATCCTGCTGGATGGAAAACCACTTCATCAGTATAAACATCAGTATCTGCATGCTAAGGTACTCTCACACACTGCCAGTTGTTTACAGAGTGATACAATGCAGCATTCCTGCTGTACAATGGTTACAATAAGTGATCCTCTGCATTATATGAGTAAATAAATAAAAACCAGCATGAGTCTATGAGTAAGGTGAAATGCACGAGGCTATAGCTGACCTTCTGTTACTGTATATGCCTTATGGATCATTAACATGTTTATAGAACAGAGTGTAGCAAAGGTTGGTTGCAGGAACCGCACTCACTCCCAACGGCCACGGGTGCTCTGGAACAGGACCATCAATCCCAACAAGATAAGTCATTAAGAAAAATTAACAGGCACTCCAAATGTGAAAGACGCAGGAAGAGTTATTGCAACAAAATGCACAGCAACGTTTCGACCTAACAAGAGGTCTTTGTCTAAAACCTGTAACGAGAGCTTGACAAAGACCTCTTGTTAGGTCGAAACGTTGCTGTGCATTTTGTTGCAATAAATCTACCTGCGGCTTTCACATTTGGAGTGCCTGTGAATTTTTCTTATTGCCTTATAGAACAGAGTGTGACTTTCTCCAGGGTGGCCCCATTACCAGCAGCTGGTCTGTGAGCTTTAGGGGAATTGACTGATAAAAGAAATGTCTGATATGGCTCTGCTTTTGTTTAACGCATGGGTCCTCAAACTCCGGACCCCCAGATGTTGCTGAACTACAACTCCCATGATTCTCTGGCTATGTAATTCAAAGAATCATGGGAGTTGTAGTTCTGCGACATCTGGGGGGCGGTTTGAGGACCCATGGTTTAAAGATTGATAAATGTAGAACATTGTAATTTGATACCAAAGATTTATAGATTCTGTTTAGTTATCTCTGAATACTGTCTCATTATTTTTCTCCTTACTGAATAGTTTCTGTCTGTTCTAGGAAACACAGTCACTGTCATTATTACTGTTGTATCATATTTGCAAACCCTGTAATCATGATTTCTAGAACTGCTCCTTGTAGTGTAATTTCTGATCCCTGCCTGTAGGTGGCTCTGGTGGCCCAGGAGCCGGTATTGTTTTCCGGATCAGTGAAAGAGAATATTGGTTATGGCCTAAAAGACGCTTCTATGAATGAACTGCAGAGAGCAGCAAGGAGAGCGAATGCAGAGACGTTTATCTTGGGGATGGAGAAAGGCTACGATACAGGTGAGGGAACAGCAGTTGGAGAGCGGTGATTGTTCTTACAGTCTGGGAGATACAGTCACCTGGTAGGCAGTAATTCTGTGATGTCCTGGATAGAGCAGGACCCTTCGTGTTACTAAACTGACCATGTATGTACAACCTTTATTCTATCACAGTTATTCACTAAAGTGAGAATCCAAAGTAAATAACTCATTTAGGGCCAAAGTAGCCGAAATAAAAGTATGGCTGACTTAGAGAATGTTTCCGGTTCTGCTATTTTGTTTTTGGTTCCCCTGAGGGAGAAAGAGTCTGCATTAATTGACCTGTGATTGAAGATTTTGGATTGCCTGTCACTGATGAGGTCTGCACATATTGTTCTGACATGTCGTTACCATTTTTCTATAATAAGGTCTGCACTTTTCATGATCTACCTGGTGGGTTATTCTGAGATCATGATGAGTGCGGACGGTTTAGCCATTTTTAGTGATTTCTTAAATTGGAAACTCTCACTTTGAATTCACTTTGATTTCGCACTTTAGTTAATAACCCTGTATATATACAATTTGGTAGCACAAGATATAGATAGATTTCTCACCGTTTCGCACAATGCTACGTACAGACAGACAGGTAAACTTTAAATCCAATAATTTAAAATGAAACAGAATCATTTATTAAGGATGATATAGATACCTGAATTAATAATAGAAAATGTGCACATTTGTCACTCCTTAAAATGAATTGGTAACTTTTTATAAAGGATCTGTCACCAAGGTCGAGCGGGTCGTTCAGACAGTGTAAGGTGACCATGCAGTCTGTATAGAGTGTTGTTATATATGTCAGGTCTCTAGGTAGGGGTTGATCAATCAATATACATGGACTGTGAGACTCAGAGTGAGGAAAAGGTCTGTGAGTCAGTCTGTCAGACTAGGAGATCTCTTATATTTGTCATTTTGGCATTAGGTATCTGCATGTCTTTCACTTCTTTCAGACGTGGGTGAGAATGGTGGACAGCTAGGAGCCGGGCAGAAGCAGCGGCTGGCTATAGCTCGGGCCCTTGCACGGGATCCACAGCTGCTGATACTGGATGAGGCATCGAGCTGTCTGGATGCAGAGACAGAGCATGAGGTACCTGACTCTTCTCACTGTCCCACACATTGGAAAATATATCTTTAATATATATATATATATATAAAAGAGAAGGTACACAGTGTACACACAAATAATACTCCTAATTAAGAAAGTGTATACATAACGTAGAACAGATGCACTATACTTGTAACATAGACAGTGACACCAAATTTCCACTCGTCACCGTACTGAAAATTTTGCCTTGGTGAATAGAAACGCCCCCCACTAGCAGTGGCTAGTAACTTTTAAAGCCTGGCTATTGATGTAGGATTAGAAATATTTATCCTTTCCCTAAGATATGGACAATGTTTCTGTAACGTATAGATATTGTGACATTGTATCAATAAGTAGAACGCTGTAACCCTAGCTCGGACAAATTAATTTAATTCCATTCTTTCATCCTATTTCTTTGTTTTAATCCACATAGAAGGGTTTACTAGTTAATTATAAGTTTACAATTTGAATGTACATTTTGTGCACTATTTTTCTCTATAATAGTTTGTCCCATCTGGATATCCGTATATGGAAATGTTATTGCAGGCTGACGTCTCAAATTATATTGGTGAACCATTTGAATAATTTCCCCCATAGATATTATGGAATTAAATCTTTCTGTCAGTGCAAAGCGTGCCTTTCCTGAAAACGAGGTGGATGGAGAACAACGATTCACTGATTGGTACTTTCAGTCCTGTTCGCTAATTTTGTTTATTTAGACAGAGTAGATCTGCTTGCAATGCTCTTTAAATGTGTAGAAGCTTTATTAAAAGGTTCATATTTCCTCTCATGACTTCACAATAGTAAACCTATCTGAAAAATAGAACAATAAAACACTGTCATATCTGTTTTTGCTGTTTCCCAGATCCAGAAGTCTCTGCAGGGGATTGACGGTCTCTCTCTACTGATCATCGCTCACCGTCTGCGCACTGTACAGAAAGCAGATCAGATACTTGTCCTGGAGGGAGGGCGCCTGGTGGAGCACGGAACCCATGGAGAGTTGGTAAAGACGGAGGAGGGGGTCTATTACAAGCTGCTCCATGGACATTTATTGCAGAATGGGGATTGAGGGAGGACGTGAGGTATCTGTGTGAATTCTAGAGCAAGATTCAGTGAGGGCATGTTTAGAGCAAGACTGTGCCTATTTTGAGAATGTATGGCTGGAAATAAAGAACTGTTATAAGAGATAACAAAAATGTACATTGTAAAAAAAAAAAAAAACAGGTCAGTGCATAAGAAAAGGAGTTTAGACAAGTGATTCTTCACCTCTTTGACAAACGGTCAGTAACTGTGCTAGACATGGATTCCAATTCTGATCGAGATCACTGTATTCCATAATCAGGATGGTTTAGAATTGCGAGTCCATAAATGTAACATATTCTACAAATAATGAATGAATTGCTTTGAGATTATTATTGTATTTCAGGTTTAAAGTTTTGTTTAAATTAGTTTAGTGCCGCTTTGTTTCGGGGTTTGAGAAGGCAAGTTTGATCGATTATTGTCAGCATGGCTTACGGAAAATGGTTAATGCTTTCCTTTATTGGAACTTGGATTTCATTTTTCAGTTTTTGTACATATGTTGTAAATAGGTTAGATTTGTAGTAATATATTTGTACAAATAAAGCTTTAATGAAACTGAGTGTCTGGGTCATTAAAAATATCGATAAACGTAGCATGACAGCACAAGTTATAGTTAATGTTTTATAACGATAAAGTAACTTAGTACAGAAATATTCTAGTAACACAGATACATGTTTAAGGCAGAAAGTGAAGTAGCTCCAAGCAGTTAGGACATTTACCTACAGGACAAAATCAGTTTGAAACAATTTATTTTGGATCAATTCCTTTTCATAAGGATTGCAAATAAGGGACCTGCCTACTAAACAAGTGAAATAGCAACATTAAGAAAGCAGGCTTTTGATGCTATCCCACATAAGGATAAAAGATTATGGAGTTATCTACTGCAATGCCACTGGAGACCCAATTTGTAGAAGGTCCAGAATACACAGCAAGCACCAATATTAGGCAAAAATGGTTACCAAATGGATTTGGCTGGAGATATATTCTCAAATTATCATTACACCTTGTTCCAAATTATTATGCAAATTCTATTTAAGTGTCACAAAGATTAAATATTTAGTTTTTCAGTTTAACTCATGGATGGCATTGTGTCTCAGGGCTCTTTTGAGCGCTGAAACCAATCTCGGACACCTGTGATTATTAGATTGCCAGGTGGGCCCAATTTAAGGAAAAACTACTAAAGGAGGGTGTTCCACATTATTAAGCAGAGCACCATTTTCATGCAATATGGGGAAGAAAAAGGATCTCTCTGCTGCCGAAAAGAGTGAAATAGTTCAATGCCTTGCATGAGGTATGAAAACAGATATTTCACGAAAACTTAAGCGTGATAAGACGGGATTTGTGCAGCTAAAGGCACATTGAGGAAGATTTCTGCCAGATCCATGCATCGGATCAAGAGAGCAGCTGCTAAAATACCATTACATAGCAGCAAACAGATATTTGAAGCTGCTGGTGCCTCTGGAGTCCCACGGACATCAAGGTGTAAATTTCTCCAGAGTCTTGCAACTGTGCATAAACCTTCTATTCTGCCACCACTATCCAATGCTCACAAGCAGAAACAGCTGCATTGGACAGAAAAATACATGAAGACTAATTTTCAAACAGTCCTGTTCACTGATGAGTGCCATGCAACCCTGGATGGTCCAGATGGATGGAGTAGCGGATGGTTGGTGGACAGCCACCCTGTTCCAACAAGGCTGTGATGTCAGCAAGGCGGTGGTGGAGTCATGTTTTGGACCGGAATCATGGGAAGAGAGCTGGTCTGCCCCTTTAGGGTCCCCGAAGGTGTAAATATGACCTCTGCAAAGTATGTGGAGTTTCTGACTGACCACTTTCTTCTGTGGTACAGAAGGAAGAACTATGCTTTCCGTAATAAAATCATCTTCATGCATGACAATGCACCATCTCACGCTGCAAAGAATACCTCTGCATCAATGGCTGCTATGGGGATAAAAGGAGAGAAAGTCATGGTGTGGCTTCCATCCTCCCCTGACCTCAATCCCATTAAGAACCTTTGGAGCATCCTCAAGCAAAAGATCTATAGAGGGTGGGAGGCAGTTTACATCCAAACAGCAGCCCTGGGAGACTATTCTGACATCTTGCAAACAAATTCAAGCAGAAACTGTCCAAAAACTCACAAGTTCAATGGATGCAAGACTTGTGAAGCTGCTATCAAATAAGGGGTCCTGTGTTAAAATGTAACGTGACCTGTTAAAATGTTTAAAAAGTTAAAATGTAAAGGGGGCCACACACCTGTCACATGTCTTTGAAGCAGGCAAAGTAATGGATTTCTCAAAACTCCGTTCCAAATATGACCTCCCACATCGCAATTTTCATACGTCCAACTCAAATCCTTCTTACACCGTAGGAACAAAGACAGGGCAGAAAATAGTCACAAACCAAAGATGCTCTCACCCTGGGAACAGATTGGGATAGCGGGAAAACTCCCACCAAAATTCAAGCAACTATCCGAATGCTACAAACACCTCCTAGTCTACCAACCCTTTCACAGTTCAAAACAGGCAATTGGAACTTGGACTTACAGACCACAATCACCGGAAACCGGAGGAAACGCATTATCTCCTCTACGAGAAGATTGATCAGATCTGCTCCACTTATAGAACAACACCAGAAAACAATGTACAGGTGGTACATGGTACCAACCCGGTTACACAAATTATACCCACACACAAAACTGGCCTGTTGGAGATGCAAACAGGAGGGAGGGTCATTCACATCTAGTGGCGTTGCCCTCGCCTAGTTAGGTACTGGAAGGAGGTACATAAACTCATCATAGATGTCACCAATACGACCTTACCCTTCGAACGTACAACCTTCCTACTACTAGATTTCCCTAACCATATACCCACACCGTTAAGAAAATTAATGTGCCATATCTTACTAACTGCACAAAAACTGATAGCAAGAAACTGGAAAAACCCACAGCCCCCCACAGTTCCCACCCTTGTTCAAGACATAGATAAGCAATTAATCTACGAAACATGGTATATAATGGCATACCCAGAAAAACACCACCACCAGGAAACATGGGAAAGGTGGCGTAAATGGAGAAGGGGCACCCCAGATTATGGAACACAAGATGGGAACAATACCATTAGTTAGAGGGAACCAGAGTGGGACTGGAGGCTAAGAGGTTAAGGGAAAAGAAGACATGTGACAAATGGGATATGTAAAACAGAACCCAACACACTGCCGACTACGAGTAGAGCAGGAACACAACAGACAGGGGCCCACATGTCAGGAGCTATATAACTGGATACCGTAACTAAACGGGGAAACTGCAACCATTGTATTGTAACTCACTGTATTGTACAATGTTGTATTACCTTGAGGAAAAGTGCAACAATGACTGGAATTGTGACTACCGCCCCCCCTTTCCTAATGTACCTCCTAACTCCCCCCATTGTTTAACAGTTGTCAAAAACAATACAAATTATATATAAAAAAAAACAAGTTAAAATGTTGTTATAAGTTGAAATAGCTTTTGATTTCAGTAAATATTGAATAACACAACAAATTACAATTTTGAGTTCTTTACAACCTATAACGTGTTTTGAAACTTACTGTGCATAATAATTTGGCAATTTATTAATTAATTTATTGGCAATTACACAGCAACTCAGAGTGACAACTACATTAATCCAAGGACACATGCATTACCATACTTAGAATCAAATCTACAAGTTAATTATCATTTTCTATTTCCTTCCTTTTGTGATCTATGGTAATGCCTTGAACATATGTACCATCTATCATAATAAGGTCTCATATCAAGTGTGATTTTAATTTTTTATCTTTAACATGATTGGCGAATATTTTCAAATGACATTGTGACAATCATTTGGTGAATCAACAAAACGTGATAATTATGTAGGAATTACATCCATTACAAGACACTTGTGCAGCTACAGGGAGTGCAGAATTATTAGGCAAGTTGTATTTTTGAGGATTAATTTTATTATTGAACAACAACCATGTTCTCAATGAACCCAAAAAACTCATTAATATCAAAGCTGAATATTTTTGGAAGTAGTTTTTAGTTTGTTTTTAGTTATAGCTATGTTAGGGGGATATCTGTGTGTGCAGGTGACTATTACTGTGCATAATTATTAGGCAACTTAACAAAAAACAAATATATACCCATTTCAATTATTTATTATTACCAGTGAAACCAATATAACATCTCAACATTCACAAATATACATTTCTGACATTCAAAAACAAAACAAAACAAATCAGTGACCAATATAGCCACCTTTCTTTGCAAGGACACTCAAAAGCCTGCCATCCATGGATTCTGTCAGTGTTTTGATCTGTTCACCATCAACATTGCGTGCAGCAGCAACCATAGCCTCCCAGACACTGTTCAGAGAGGTGTACTGTTTTCCCTCCTTGTAAATCTCACATTTGATGATGGACCACAGGTTCTCAATGGGGTTCAGATCAGGTGAACAAGGAGGCCATGTCATTAGATTTTCTTCTTTTATACCCTTTCTTGCCAGCCACGCTGTGGAGTACTTGGACGCGTGTGATGGAGCATTGTCCTGCATGAAAATCATGTTTTTCTTGAAGGATGCAGACTTCTTCCTGTACCACTGCTTGAAGAAGGTGTCTTCCAGGAACTGGCAGTAGGACTGGGAGTTGAGCTTGACTCCATCCTCAACCCGAAAAGGCCCCACAAGCTCATCTTTGATGATACCAGCCCAAATCAGTACTCCACCTCCACCTTGCTGGCGTCTGAGTCGGACTGGAGCTCTCTGCCCTTTACCAATCCAGCCACGGGCCCATCCATCTGGCCCATCAAGACTCACTCTCATTTCATCAGTCCATAAAACCTTAGAAAAATCAGTCTTGAGATATTTCTTGGCCCAGTCTTGACGTTTCAGCTTGTGTGTCTTGTTCAGTGGTGGTCGTCTTTCAGCCTTTCTTACCTTGGCCATGTCTCTGAGTATTGCACACCTTGTGCTTTTGGGCACTCCAGTGATGTTGCAGCTCTGAAATATGGCCAAACTGGTGGCAAGTGGCATCGTGGCAGCTGCACGCTTGACTTTTCTCAGTTCATGGGCAGTTATTTTGCGCCTTGGTTTTTCCACACGCTTCTTGCGACCCTGTTGACTATTTTGAATGAAACGCTTGATTGTTCGATGATCACACTTCAGAAGCTTTGCAATTTTAGGAGTGCTGCCTCCCCTCGCAGCCGCCCGCGGGACCCTGACACTAACAATGTTTAGGGTTAATTTTGACTATCTCTTACGTCATCGACTAGCATGCTTTCAATTGGCTTACAAAATGATGACGATTTTTGAACCTACCTATCAGAACTGTCATCCCCCTTTATAACTTCGGTTATTTCCCGCACATCGGATCCCCTCTGATGAGCTGTGGGCGAAAGGCGCGCGTCAGGGGCACTTGGCGATTCAGAGACTTTACACTTATATTCACTTTATCTTTCAACAAGAGTTGATTTACACAGTCTCGGATCCCGAGTATGTTTTACCGCTTTTGCTTCCCGTAGGAATTAGGGTTACATGTATACATTTAGTTTCTGGCGATCATCCATTTCTCTAGACAGATTGAATTAATTAGCTTGGAACGGATAGCCCCCCTTTTTTTCCTACAGCAATAATGGTTTTATATTATCCACAGAGGCTGTATTCTGCGTTTCCTATAGCAACGCTTATTATAGCTGATGATCATATACTGAGCGTTCTGGCGGAAATATTTTGTGTGTTTTGAAAACATCGTTAAACACATACTATTCGGATAAAGGTGCTTGTAACCTCTTTGAACAGCCCCTTTTTCTATTTATATTAGCCAGTTCACTTTTTGTTACTGTTTTATTAGGAAAGCCAGAACTTACACAATTTTTTTCTTCTAGCCGTTGCAGTTTTGCCACATTGTGGTCTATTATAGACGGGTTACATTATTACACTGAGATAACCATTATATCATCTGCGTAGTAAGTGCTACTTGATTTGGCCCCTAAGGATTGCAAAACTTAGTTTTGCACACTCTATCGGTTAAAGGTTTCTGAAAACTTTTGAACAGAACCTCCCAATGACTATGTACATTTTAGTCACTACTAGTTAATTTCTCTGCTCATTTGTGTTCAGGACTTCAAACTTGGAATGTTTACCCTTAAGTTATTAACAGTTCACTGTTTCGTATATACTTTGGTTTATAGTTTGTATTTTTTTTTTTATTAATACATTTATTAGGTCCTAGGATATTATTCTGCACTTGAATCGTTAAACATTTTGGTGTATTATTATGTATACACATTTCTGTAGCTAGTGGCAATCACTAACTATTGCAGACTGTAAAACGATTCAGTGCAGATATTACCAGATAAGGTTTTGTTACACTTTAAAATAGGATCTGTTTCAGCCCTATACTTCATTAAAGAGTTTATAGGGTTCCCCAACATATAAGTTACCAATTAGAGAATATACATACATTGGTTTACTATTATACTTTTGAATATTTAGAATGTATATACTTTAGTTTATTATCATTCTTTGGAATATCATTCCTATCAAGAAAACTCACACTAGATTTTAGCATTACTATTAAAAGTTATATTTTAATAAATTAGGACACTCATTTCTTCTAATAATTTGGAACAGTGCATTGTAAGTTTTTTATGTTTAAAAATAAATACTGTTATCATTTGGATGTTTTTTTTAATAAAATTTGAATTGTACGCTTAATAGTTGATAACATGAGAATTATGCTGACTGCTATTTACATCAATTATTTAGGTAAATGAGAAATATATCATTTGCATAATAATTTGGAACAGGGTGTATATCGCTTTTCACCAGTGAACAATAAATGTAACTACTACATTTCAATAATGGGGAATGAACAGCACACTGTCTACCCCCTGCCCCTCCAATGATCAATGGGTGAGGGCACTGTTTAAAAAAAAAAAAAGGGGGGTGGACGTGGCCGACCAAGAGACTGAACAGACGTGCTTTGGTGGAGCTCCACTTCAACCCAGTGGTTTTATCTAAATTCTACCGCCCTATTCATCTGGAGAGGATACTCCACACATCCCCCCATTAAAGAGACAACATGGGGCGTAAGCACTGTAAATTTTAAGTGCCAAAATCCCCTCAACAAAAAGATAGAAGGCTCTCATTCGAGTGGCCTACGCTGCCAGCACTGCCTAAAATGGCTCCGCAGTGAGCCGCACAGAAGAAACATTGGAGGAATCCCTAGAGGAGAATTCTCAAGACAAGGCGACTTACACCACGAAGCAGAATTTGATGATGACTCGTCTCCTGCAACCAAAGGGGACATAAAGCAGATGCTCCTGGAAATGCACCAATCTGGAAGTTGGATCTCCGAGAAATAAGACAAGATATGGGGATAATGCAGAACAAGCTCCAAGAGGTAGTGGAAAGAGGCAGGGTCTGGGACCCAGCAGATGAAACTAACCTGGACGGATTAACAAAGCAGATACAGGGGCTAAATTGCTATGTGGCATCCCTGGAGTCCAGACACAGGCACCGCAATATACGCCTGAAGGGGATACCCGAAGAGGTAAAGGGGGACGCGCTACTCCCACCATAAACCCAGCAGCTGATCGCTATCATTGGCCTAAAGGGAGAAGAAGACCCCACGATGATACTTACAGCATTCAGGGGCAGGAAGGTGATGACAGCTCCAGAGGCAGCCCCACAAGACACTGTAGTAGTCACCAGAGACACAGCCGTGCGATCGGCCATCATGGTTCGCTCCAGAGCGATAGGGTGCGTGAAGTTTGAAGGCGCCTCTATTCTGTTCTTCAGTGACATTCCCTTTGCTGAAAACAAAAAACAAAAAGAAGACTGGCCTCAGTGGCCAAGAAATTGAGAGACCACTCGGTGCGGTACCGCTGCGGAGCTGACGGAGCCCTGATGGTATCCCACGGTGACCAAATCATCACACTTACCTCTGACGAGGACCCAGAGAAACTACGATGCTGCGTGGACCAGAGGGATGCAACGGCAAATGCGGGGAAGGCAAATAGCTGACCCACCACAAGATCAACAGCCTGGGAACCCGTAGACTTTGTGCATGAAATTCAATAAAATACAAATTATAAAAAAGAAGAAAAAACATTGGGGGACATGCTAGTCCCCCCTGCCCCAACCATATAGAGCTAGTGGGTGTTCCAATATATACACAGGGTGGACAGGTCTATATCTCTCCATAAACCCCACCCATAAGTGGAGTGTGGGGGCTCTAAACTGAGGGTCCCAAAAATCCCCCAGACCCCACCTAAAGACAACTAATAGATGCTATTTTAAAATTCTACACCTCATAATTAAAAAAAAAATTAAATTCCTTTCTACCACCATCACCCAAATAATGGAGATAGGGGGCATTAAATCTAACACCTGGA